AATAATCAAAACTGACTTGTTTCCAAGATTATTATAGGCTAAAAAAAAGCAGCTCTGTCAAGCCTTATAAATCTCTTGATTCATTAATAGATTTAATTTATTGAAACAGAATTGATTAGTATAGATGCGATGCCTGTTCCTTTTTGCATTTGTCTCAGTGCATCCTTCTAATCGAGAGGGGGCATGTTTTTCAAAGCTAGGTCAGTGGATGGCAGGATATCGCGATTCTAGCTGATGTCATTCAGCTAGACGACAAGGACTCGTGGCTTCTGTTTCTCTGATGGTTTTCGTCTTGGTTGCCTAAAGCCAAATTAAATAAATAGAAATGTTTTTGTTCGCTCTCTCTTTTTTCTCTTCTGTGGTTATATGCCATCGTTCTAATGAAATTCTAACACGCGCTGCTTTTCAAGTAGGCGATGAATACTGTCTCTGTGTGTGTGTTTGCGGTGTGTGTGTGTGAGTGTGTGTGTGTGAGAGCAGCTGGTCATAATGAGCCACTTGAGTGGCGCACACGCATGCAAAAAGCATTCGAGGCCAACAAAGTCGTTCGTCCTGCGGTCGTTCGGTAGATCCAACATCTGACCTTCGGCCAGAGACAATGCCAAGGCTCGATGAGAACGATGTGGATGTAAACGTGGCCAAGTCCTAGGGGGGAGGTGCGGGCGGGGCAACCCACAAGGTCAGGATTTTGTGCAAAAGCGGGTGTGGCACAAAGCTCAACTTCCTGTTGCTGAAATGCATTCACAGGAAAATCAAATTATATTAATTGAGATTCTACATGCATTAAAGTATATGGGAATGGATTTTTCTAGAAACTGGGAGCCTGCAAAAAGATTTTAGAGTACGAGTTGGTGTGGTTAGGTTCGGTGTGGTTAGGTTCTGTCACTTCCCCTTCTCGTTTGTCGCTCGTTTCCTTGTGGCCAGGATGACATGCCCAGTATGGGTAGAGAGAGAGAGTATAAACATTTTGCCACCGCCTCTGCTCCGGTTGATAATTATTTAACACTTTTCTGTACATTTCTTGCTCTAGATAAAAACCAAAAACAGCCGCACAATGCATACAAATGAGCGTAGGAGCCCAGGAGTCACGTAGCCGCCGCCAGGACTGGAGGACACAACCTCTCGTCTCCCCGACAGACAAAAATAGGTGGCTCTAATTAAGAAGACAGAGCCTGGTTCTGGTCCTGCTCCTGGTTTTCCGGAAAATTAATGGAACCCACGAGTGGCAGAGCATTTTCGGCGTTCACACAAATTAAATTCCATCAAGTTTATTTGCTGTAAATGAGGCAGTGCCAGAAGGAACTTCTTCTCCCTTCTGGCCTTAATTTAATTTCCCCAACCCTTTGGGTGGGAGTGGCTAGCACGTGTTGCCATGTTACCATTTAGCATATACCATTTACCACTTAGAAGCGAAGGTAGAGCCACACTCAGACGCTTGATACACACACACACAGAACAGAAAAGAAATATAAAATAATTCCGAGTTGACACTACGACTCGTTAGATTTTCCATGTAAATAGTCATTATAATTATTATTATGGTTTGCGTTGATTTCTGTCTCTAGGGGAACCTTTGAAGGGGGAACCCCAACAAGGCAAAAAAGGCATCTAAGAAGCGAGAGAAAATTGTAAACAAACCCCAATATTTATTACAAAATTTCACATTTGTCTGCATGAAGAAAGTGCAATGATTAACGATTATTAAATTAAATGTATTGAGGCGGAAAATCTATTAATTAGTAATTATTATAATGTGATGTTATATATATAAATCAATCGATAATGGCAAAACCAGCAAAAACAAAAACAAACTACAAAAACTATGACAAATTGTTAACCAACGTAACAAATTTCACTAAGTAGATTTTTCGAATTAAATTTAAATAATAATAAAAGTATAGAAAAATCAAGTAAAACATAAAATCAAGTAAAAAAAAGGAAACTAAAGAACTTTGCTGTATACACGAGATAAAATGCGTTTTTCTACTTCAAATGAATATGTAAAATGATTTTTCAAACTTAGAATACCCTATATATACCTAAATATATATATACATAAAAAAAAATTACAAATTCTATGTAAATGTTGTGCGTATATAAAAGCAAAAGGCGTAGAAACCGACCCACATTTCGAGATCTTTCAGTTAACTTATGTGTGTGCTATATATTATTATCTTCTCTATGTAAACGCAAGAAGAGCTCGCTTGGACAAATTTTTGGGCCTTAATCCAACAAACGAACTACCCAAGCCGAGGCCTTGGTGTTCTTTAATTAGCCAGCATTCTTTCTCAGATCAATATATCTCTCTATACGCTGTACCCCTGGAGAGGGGGGCAATCCACACACTAATGGTTATATTCTCTATATCTAAGTGAATGTGTTCGTTTCAAAACTTGTATAAAAGCACGCTCCCCTCTCCGCTCAGACACGAAATGTTTGTAAAATATTGACCGAGAAATGGAGGAAGCGAAGAATTACGAAATTAACTTATAAAATAATACGTATTTCTGGATGTATGGGAAGAAGACATTTTAGTTTTTCTACTTGAATCGCATTTCTTCCACTTTTCCACCAAATCTTGTAGCGAAGATATAATATTTTGAGTCTCTTCGATCCTCAAGCTCAAAAAAAAACGAAACCCTAAAAAAGTATAAACAAAATGATAATGATAATGAAGTTTCTAGGTTCTATTCTATGTTTAGTTGTCTTGTTATTTATATGTTTAGATTTAGTTTGTGTCTAATTTACTTTTAAGTTTTGGCTCCGCAATAAATACAGACAATTATATATATTTTTTCTATAATTTGTTTCATTTTATCATTTTCGATACGTCAGACCGGAATGATATGAAGAGTAAACGATTTACAAAATGCATAAACAAAATGAATTGCTAAAATTTAAGCGCAAAAGTTCAATTAATAAAACTTAGAATTTTAAAATTAACATAATTTGGAATATTTATATACATACGCATATATATACAACTCTATATATGAACAAATTAGTAACAAATCAAATCAATTTCCATATGACCCATAGAAAACTAAAAAAAAAATGATAAAATTAAAATAGTAACGAGTGAAGAAACAAACACTCGTGCAATTGTACTTTAAAATTGAATAAAATTCATAAGCAAACCAAAAAAAATTAACAAAAACAAGAAAATAGTGGAGAAGGAATGAGTGGAGTGGAAAGGAGATTCACATGCAACTCCAATTGCCTAGGGTTGCCACCGCCAACTTGCAAGCAGCAGCCTTTAGAAGGGGACAGCGACAGACACAAGCAGACTCACTCTCACACAAACACACTTGCAGAGTTTGCAGTCATGTGGCTACGATCCACAGGAAGCGGAATCGGGACAGATATATATTGACTATTATTGATGGATGGATGGATGTATTGTCGTGCATTGGGAGCAGCAATTGCAAACAATAATTCCAGGCATATCGAAGCATTTTTACTCAGCAATCAGCGAAATCGGCAACCAAATCTGATGGCAATAACAAGCGACAGGAAACCAATGCGAGGACAAACGCGGGAAGGGAACACTTGACACGGTCACACCGAACACACACACACACACGCTAACACAATAAGGGACGAATGCGAGCAAGTAAAAAACTTAACGGGATTCACATATGTATATTCAAGAAGCAATAACGATATATTTCCACGTACGATAAACGATAAAAACGATATGAATGATCCGATGAAGAGGAAGAAAGTCAAAAACTAACATAAATAAATATTTATACATATATTTTAATTATAGTTACAAATTAGCATATATATAAATATATATATATATACATAATTATACATACATACAAATATATATACAGAAAAGATAGTCCAAATAATTTAGCGAACAGATGAAAACGAAGTAAACGTTTAATATTTACAAAATATTAAAAATATCAATGTGCAATTTAACAAGCGTTTAAAACAAAACCGAAACAGACACTGACACAGCCACAGTCACACACAAGCTACATACATACATTTATACACGCCTAAACATATGTAAACTGATTATAAACAACATATTATATGCGAATATAACGAAACAAGTCGATACATATAACGATCCATTTATAAACGAAACGAAGGCGAGCAGCAAAATTTAGTGGCAAAACAATTCAGTTTTGTGTGCACTCGAACACCACCACCAAACCAGTAAGCACAGTAAAGCCTACCTAAAGGGAAATCAAAATTCAGCAGATACAAAACACAAGATACAACCGATAGATACAACACGAAGGCAAACCATGCTCTAAGAACTGCATCAAAAGCAGTCGAGAAAGTCAAGTTTTTGAGAAAATACTCATAATTGTTAAAAATGTTTAAATAATATAATAACAAAATAAATAAAAAACAAAAAACTCAAAAAAAAACATTAAAAAATTAAAAAACAAACAAAATCCGCAACAAAAACAAATGGCATATTACATATATTTTTTCTCTCCTTAGACAATTTAGTTAATTATGAAAAATAATGAAAAACCAAACATTATTCTTAAGTGTTAGTCTTATACATAAAGAAAAGATACAATTAATAAAGATTAAATGAAAATAAAAAGAAAACAAAAATCGATAAATGCAGCAAAAGAAATTCACGGAACAGAGGCAGCCGACGAAAGAGAAATGTGCAAAGTAACAGCAAAAAAGTGAAAATAAAAAACCAGAAAAGTAATCCAATGCGAAATGAAAAACAAAAACAAAACAAAACTTAAATTAAGAAATTAGATTTGCCTTTGTGTTAATATCAAGTGTGTTTCTTATTACCATGATTATTATTATTTTTTCATTTCCAATTGGTCAGACGTGAAATGATTTCCTTACATATTGATTGAAAAATAAAAATTATTAAACAAAAAAAAGATGCACTTGTTTCTTATTTATTACCAAGGGTCTCGGGGCTACAGTTCGATGTCGCATGGTTTCCCAGGTTTCCAAATATTATTATATATACGCATACTCATCATTTGTTTCGCCCACAGGAGGATAGCTTATCAGTATGGAACCGGACTGCCACTGATATGACCAGTACAACACGTATCCGTGATACGTTACGCAGGATATTAAATATACCTCTAACAACGGCAATGGAATATAAGATACACTGTGATAGCCTTAAATATGTTTCAATGTAAGTATCACTTTAAGATAAATTAGTATACTATTTAATATGCGATCGAAATGAGCCAAAGAAGAGGTTTAACCGCGCCAATACCAATATTTTATACGAAAGTTTAAATTCACAGATTTGATTCTACACATTTTGTTTCCATTACAATGGTTCTAATGAGGAATTGTAAAAATGTTAATAATTTACAAAGCATTAATTTAATAATCAAATTCCTTTCCTGTACCATACACAGGCCTCTATTCCATACGCAGGCCAGGCGACGACATCGCATGGTTTGGAATTTTCGCAATCGAAACCGATTTTATACTCAGTCTCGTTCAATTCTCGAAAAGCAAGATAGTGACTGAAAGTTGTTAATGATAATCCTGTCATCGGTGGTTGTACCATTTTTTTAAGAAGATCTAAAATAACAAACTATAACAAAGTAAATTACTGATTAAAAACTAATAATATTATGTTTTCTTCTTTTCCAGTAATAAAGGCCCCTTGAAAAGCTGAAATTCAGTGAATAACTATAAACAAAAGAAAAACAAAAACAATAATTACACAAACAGATAATATATAAGTCGCTAGAGAAAGCAGAAGAAACAGCCACAAATTCATCGACACAACAAAAACAGCCAACAGACAGACAGCAGCAAGCACACGAAGGGAACCATCCATCATCAGGCTCATGGAACTCGTAACCTTTAACCCGAATCCAAAAACCTCGAAAACCGCCGCATACACAACGAGACCCAGGACTTCATCCACAGCGAAACAAATTAATATTTAAGCGCCAATAAGACAAATCTTTGTATTTTAATCAGCTTACAAAGTGTGTGTATATATGAAACGCCATAAATATTTTAGTTTGTATGTATAAAGTTTACATTAGGCATTCCTCCCTAATTAAAAAGTCAAATCCCCCCTAACTACTGCCTGTAACAGATGCCTCTCCAATCTGGCCGTATTTATCTCTCTCTCTTAACTTACTTTATTTTGTATTACCCTATACCTTAATCTCCCCGAGAAGAAGATTGGACCATCTCTCCCGCAGGCGAGACCTTGTATTGTAGCCTTATTGATTATAGCCATAGCCGGCCGGCAGCCAACACAACAACACAACATAATACACACACACACAAGTTAATGAATTAATGAAACTGACACATACACTAACTAGCCGATACTGTATTTATCTGTTTGCAATGATTATTTTTTTAATTAATGATAAAACCCTGAAACTGAATAATCAAATTGTTTTTGTTCTTGAAGAAATACAAAAGTTTTTACGTGAAAAAAAGAGAAAAAACTAAAAACTGAAACTAAAAGCGAAACAAAGTTGTTTTACATATGCCAAGCACACCAGCAAATACCGCTCCACCACTACCATCAATCGAACACCACATTCAAATATTTATCTTTCCCCAAAACTCTTCCTCCAGTGCAGTACAACCAACGCAAGCCCAAATAAAGGAAACTATTGAAAGTTGCAGAAACTATTTTCCATACATGTTACTATTGAATTGATCTTGTTCTTTTTCCCTTTTGTTGGTAAGTATTATAGACGCATCAACAAAATTTAATTTTGGCTGGTTATCCGCAACAAGATTGATAAATACATATTTAATGCCCGAATGATTCATGATGCAATTATCGGAAGTACATTAAATATTTACAAGAAAGGAAACTAACTTGTAGAAGTCGAATGTAATTGCAATGACAGTTCACAATTAAGTTATAGGATAGGAATGAAAAATCGATCATAACTAAGCTTAAAATATTCGCATTCTCTGAATCGATGTTTATTAACTATTTTTAATGACAATTTCTTCGGCAAATCAATCACAACTCGGCCAAGAATGTGTTGATTTCCTTGGCGGCAAATGATCGTCTATTTAAATTTGAATTCAAATTTGCAAGTTTGTTGTACTAATTTTGTTGTTGTTTTTGTAATTTTTGTTGTTGTTGTAATTTTTGTTGTTGTTGTAATTTTTGTTGTTGTTGTTGTACTAATGTTGTTGTAATTTTTGTTGTTGTTGTAAAAGAGTTGTTTGTTGTTGTTGTAGGCAAAAACAAGGCTTCGATCTCGACGTTTTCAGTACAAAATCGTCAATTTCTGGATCTGAAGTACCAGGCGAACAGAAACGGCAGAAAGCTGATTTATTTTAGTGCACGAGGTGCAAATCAGAGCTGTCTTGTTAGCTATATTTTAGTAGAGCTTTAAATCTATCTATAAAATAGCTAGTTAGTCAACCTTATATGGCGGGAGCTTTTCGTCATCGAAATTAATCGATAAATTGGCGGCAACTGATCGACAATTTAAATTCAAATTCAAATTTTTCGATTAACTGATAGGGCGGGTAACGATAATCTTTTTGAATTTAAATTCAAATTTGGCAGTTAAATTTATACATACATACATTAATACAAACAGCTTCTATAAAAATAGAAGCACTATAATTATTTTACACATTTACTGGGTTTATTATTGGGAAATCGCGGGGGCAATACGGTTTTTTTTATATCTAATGCTTAATACTACATTTTGTTGTTTACTTGTCCTCGAACATGGTCAGGTCGATTATATAAACATTTGATACAAGACAATCGCCTTCCTGCAAGTCAAGAGAAGTAATTGTTATTAATAATTTGCACATTGCCAAGCAGTTGTGCCACAACTTACCCCTGGCGTAATGCCCACGAGGGCATCTGCATGGCCATAGAACTCCTCCTTCAAGGAGATGACAATGGTCTGCAGATTGGTTTGGTGATCCCTTATGTACGAGGCGACCTTGCCAATGTTTGTGTTGTCCAGCGCGGCATCTATCTCGTCGAGCACAAAGAACGGCGCTGGTTGATAGCTAGAGTAAGCCGATTTCACCATGAGTATCTTCGAGTATTTATAAAGTTTTGTACTCACCTGTGAGTGGAGAAAAGCAGAGCTAGGGCCGCAATGGTTTTCTCACCGCCGCTCAAGTTGCTCATCGGCTGGAAACGTTTGCCGGGAGCCACACAATTGTAGTTGATGCCATCCAGATAGGGCTCCTCGGGATTATCGGGTCCAATATAGGCCTGTGCCGCCTCATTGCGAGCCAATTTCTTATAGATGCCATCAATGGCATCTGAGATGTGCTGACAGCAGGCAACGAAGCGTGAAGATCGCTCGTTCTTCACCCTCTCGAAGGCCGCCTTGGCCTTCTTGGCCTTGCGTCGGGCATTCTCGAACTCCTCGTTGGTGGACTGCACCTTTTCTGTGACGGCATCGAGTTTCTGCATGGCCTTCATATTTGGCGTCTGTATGCGCTCGAGGATATCCAGCTTACTTTGCAGATCCTTTTGCAATTGTTCGTTGGCCTTCTTAAAAGCGGAGTCATCCTTGAGCTTAGTAAACTCACGAGGCAGCGATGAGTAGTCCACCTCAATGCTAATTAATAATGATTTAAGTATGAATTTTTAATTGGAAGAACATGAAGGAACTTACATGGGCTCCATTGCCATGGCTGACGTGGATGGGCCGGTCATGTCCGCGTCGCTCTGTCGCACTGCATCGTCCAGCGATCCGCGCAACAAAGGCACCACGATGCAGTCGGTCTTGGCCTGCAGCAAGATATTCTGGCGTTCGTTTTTCTTAGCCTCAATCTTAGACTCCACCGATGACATCTGACTGCCCACGTTGTGGATTTCTTTGGCCAAGTTAGCTACATCCTTGCGTGCCTTAGAGATGTCCTCCTCCATATCGTCAACCGCCTGCTTCTTGGCCTGCTTTTCCTGCTTAAACTTCTCCATTTTCTCCTTGTCCTCATCCATTTCCTTCAGATAGCGGGCCTCGGCCGTTTTGAGCCCCTCCAATGCATCCTCCTCGTCCTGCACGCTCCTCTCCCAACGCTCAACGTTTTCTGTGTGGTCATAATTGTAGTTTATCTCTGTCATCCTTTATGCATTACTCGTAAAACTTACTTCGCGTATCTTTCTGCTTCTCGAAGTCCAGCTGCGAGTTTATGGAATCCATTTGCTGTTCGAACTCGGCCCGCTTACGTGCTCGCTCCTGCTGCATGACCAGCTCTCTCTCCTCATACTGTCGGATATTCTTTACACCCAAACGGCGGCAAAAGGCTGCATATACTTTGTCCTCCACATTGTTCATGTTCTCCTTGATTTCCTGGATATGCTCCTCGCGATTCTGCATTCGCCGCTCGATCTCGTTGATTTTGGGCTGTTGAGTTGGTGCGAAATAGAATATTGAATATGTAATCCTAAGATTTGGTTGTGGAACTCACCCCAAAATCATCCAATTGGGTCTGAACCTGCATCAACTGACTATCGTACTGTCCGATCGACTTCTTCGACGACTCCAAGTCGACCATACTGTACTTGAGCCGGTTCTCCAGGCCCTTAATCTGCGACTCGACGGTGGCGAGCTCACTTTGCTTGCGCGACTTCTTGACCAGCTCCTTGAGCTCCTCGTTGAGGCGCTCCTTTTGCATCTTCAGCTGCGCCATATGCTTCTCGTCCCAGCGCTTGGCTTTGCGTGCCAGATCATGACTGCCACCGGAAATGAGGCCCGATTTCTGATAGAATGTTCCGTCCAGGGCCAAAGCATCGAAACGCGACCGGTCAATTTCATAAGCCACCTTCATGGCATCCTCGGGTGTCTCGCAGACGAGGGCATTACCGGTGGCAAAGAGCACGGCACGCTCGATCTCCTGAGGCTCAAACTTTAGCACATCGAAGACCAAACGCACATTGCGCGGATCGCTGATGTTGCGGAGACGCTCCTTCAAAGGCTTCACCTGCAGATAGTCGAGGGGCAGAAAGGTCTCAACCTCCAGCATTTGCTCTTTCAGAATCTACAAGTAAATTATTAAGGGATTCATGTTAGACAAAAGAAAAAACTGTGAGCTGTGAGACCAACCTGAATGCAGTGACGCGCCGTCTTCTCAGTGTCCACAATGATGGCCTCCATGAACTTTCCCAGAACCTTGGTGACTGCTACGTTGTAGCGCTTATGTGTGGGCTGGCACATGTTGATCATGCGGTCGTACACACCGGGAACCTGTTTCTTGAAAAGCTCCACAACCTCCTGCTTTTTCTTGCGCCGTGCATCCTCGTGCTTATCGCTCTTGGCATCGCCCAGCTGGTCTCGCACGTTCTCCAACTCGCGTTGCTTTTCAGCAATCTTCTCCTTGGAACTGCCCACGTCTCGTCGGAGCTCGTCCTTTATACGATTCTGCTCCTCCAGTGCCGCCTGCGAGGACTTAATGTGATCCATCAGCTTGTCGCGGCGCTTGACAGCTTCCTCGCGCTGCAGGGTTAGTTTCTTGAAGGATTCCTCCACGGAGGCACGGCGATTGGTCTCGCCGTCGAGCGTATCCTGCTCGGACTTTTGCTCCCGGTTCACGGAGTCCAGCTCGGAACGGTACTGGGTAGCCGTGGCCTCCGCCTCCTGCTTAAGGCGGTCGTACTCCTGCACGAGACCCTCCTCCATGTTGACACTCTTGCCCCGGCGCTGGGATTCGTTCTCGATTTCGTCTTCAAAGCGCTTTTTCAGTGCCTCCACATCGGCCAGCTGCTTCTCCAGCTTTCGAATGTCCGACTGGTGGGCATTGTCCGCTTCGCGGGCCGTCTCAAGAGTCTTTTGCAGGGAGGCCAGCTTCTTCTTGCAGTGGGTAACCTTTTCCTTGGCCTTGATGTACAGTGGGCGACGTTTGTTCATCTGGGTTTCAAACTCTCGTATCTCCTGCTCGATCTTGGCCAGATCCCGAGTTATTTTTCCGGCGTCCTTTTTCTTCTCGCGCAGCACCTCATCGGCAGCCTCTTTGCGCTGCTCCACTGCCTTTACGTCCTGCTGCTTGATCTCCAAGTCGCTGATGTATTTCTGAATGTCCTTCTCCACGTGAAAGAGTCGAAACAGTTGATACTCCACTTGTTTCTCATTCTGTAGATGTTATTTTTATTAATTTCGATATAAACTTTAAGTGAGAATGAGGATGCTTACATATTCGTTTTGCAGGCGAGTGTAGCGATCAGCTTCCATCTTTTCGTGCTTGGCCTCCTTTCGTTCTGCCGCAATGCCCTTCTTTTTTGGTAGGTGAACTGGGTCTCCTCCTCAGCCACAATCATTTCCTGCTTAAGTCGATTGTAGTCGTCCTTGAGTAGGCCAGAGCTAAAAAACGAAAGGATGAAGCATTAATAATGCACAATTTCATCCCAGGTTTTAGTTACCCGCTGATTTCCTCAAACAACGCCGTGCGTTCCTTAGGCGTCTTCATGGCTATATTTTCCACGGCTCCCTGGAATACCAGGAAATTCTTGGCCTTCACATTGATGCCAATCTTTTCCAACTTGTTCAGGTACGTGCTGCTCGAAACGCTCTGAAATGGAGATACTATTAAGCGATCTGGCATTCATTGGCTTCTCTAACGCACCTCTCCGTTAATGCGGTACTCCGAGGAACCACTGATGACAGCCCGCTGGAAATCCATGTGCTTCTCCCCGTTGAGCACGAACTTGGCCGTCACATAGCAGCTGCGGGACACTGGCTTGCCAATGGAGGACCCATGAATCAGGTCGTTCAAGCGCTTTACACGCAAACTGCTGGTCTTCTCGCCCATCACGAAGCTGATGGCGTCCATGAAGTTCGATTTGCCGGATCCGTTTGGCCCGATGACCGCGTTGAACTGTTTCAGTGGGCCCACAACTATGTGGCCGCGGTAGGACTTGAAGTTTTCCATCTCGATGTACTGCAAGAAGGCCGTCTCGTCGTCCGGCTTGCGTACGGGCGCCGCCGCCATGCGCAGTCCCACCTCATCGTCGTCGTCGACCATACTCGCGTTTGGCTAGCCAAAACTCCACGGAAAAATACAATAAAAGCGCGTAAATTATGTTTTTTTCACCAAATAACAGAAAAGACGCGCAACTAGAGATGGTAAGGTGTGGGAAAAAACTATCGATAGACTTATTGCAACGATTAATCGGTGCACTATCAGCATGTTGAAGTATCGATTATTCAGGTATCGATACTGCATGCAAGAAAAGTATCGGAATCGGTTGCATTTGTTTACAAACATTTAATTGTGGTAAATAGCAATATACAGAATCTTACAGCGGTCATACCAATTGTAATTATACGGTGCACTCCGAATAAATCAAAAACAGAAAAGATGCGCAACTGGAGATGGTAAGGTGTGGGAAAAAACTATCGATAGACTTATTGCAACGATTATTCGGTGCACCATCTGCATGTTGAGGTATCGATACTGCATGCAAAAAAGTATCGGAATCGGTTGCATTTGTTTACAAACATTTAATTGTGGTAAATAGCAATATACAGAATCTTACAACGGTTATACCAACTGTAATTATACGGTGCACTCCGAATAAATCAAAAAGTTGTATGCAACTATCTGATATAGGTATAAGCTACTCTCCCGCCGAAAATTAAATAATAAAAATTTGTCTTTTCTAGGCATAAATATTTATTGAATTAAATTCAGTATTACTAACTTAATTAAGGATTTTTTGGTTGAGATTTAACTAATACTGAGTAATTCATAAATCCTATGGCACTTAGTCCACCTCCTCGACATTTGGACCCTTGTAGCCGCCGCTGCCGAATCCTCCCGCCTGCTGGCCACAGTTGGGTGCCCCTTGGTGGCCGTCTCCACCTGCAGCCCCCTGCTGGTGCATCTTGGTCATGATGGGGCTGCAGAACTTGGTAAGCTCCTGCAGCTTGTGCTCGAACTCCTCCTTCTCAGCGGTGGTGTTGCTGTCTAGCCAGCGCACCGCCTCGTTGCAACGTTCCAGCACACTGCTCTTGTCCGCCTCACTGATGCGGTCGCCGCCCTGTTCGGCCGCCTCCTTGACACCGAACACATAGCTCTCCAGCTGGTTGCGGGCGGCGATCCGCTGGCGGTGCTGCTCGTCCTCCTCAGCGTACTTCTCCGCTTCACTGAGCATGCGGTCGATGTCCGCCTGCGAGAGTCGGCCCTTATCGTTCTTGATAGTGATGTTCTTGGCGTTGCCCGTTCCCTGCTCCTTGGCGGTCACGTTCAGGATGCCGTTCGCGTCCAGATCGAAGGTAACGTCGATCTTCGGTACACCTCGCGGGGCTGGAGGGATTCCAGTCAGGTTGAAGGTGCCCAGCACGTTGTTGTCCTTGGTAAGGGCGCGCTCTCCCTCGAACACCTGAATAGTCACGGCCGGCTGGTTGTCCGCGTAGGTGGTGAAGGTCTTGGACTGCTTGCAGGGGATGCGGCTGTTGCGCTCAATCAGTTTGGTCATCACGCCGCCAGCGGTCTCAATTCCGAGCGAGAGAGGAGCCACGTCCACCAGCAGAACATCCTTGATCTGGCTGCTTTCGTCGCCCGAGAGAATGGCCGCCTGGATGGCAGCACCATAGGCCACAGCCTCGTCGGGGTTGATGGATAGGTTCAGGCTCTTGCCGTTGAAGAAGTTTTGCAGCAGGCTTTGAACCTTGGGGATGCGCGTCGAGCCACCGACTAGGACGATGTCGTGGATCTGCCCTTTGTCCATCTTGGCGTCGTTCAGTGCCTTCTCCACTGGCTGTAGGGTGTTGCGGAAAAGGTCACCGCACAGCTCCTCGAACCGCGCCCGGCTTATCTTGGTATAGAAGTCGTGGCCCTCAAACAAGGCGTCCACCTCTATGGACGCCTCCGTGCTGGAGGAAAGGGTGCGTTTCGCCCGCTCAGCCGCAGTGCGAAGGCGACGCAGGGCACGTGGGTTGGTTCGCAGGTCCTTCTTGAATTTACGCTTAAACTCCTCTGCAAAGTGGTTAACCAGCCTGTTGTCGAAGTCCTCGCCGCCCAGGTGGGTGTCTCCGGCGGTGGACCGCACCTCGAACAGGGATCCCTCGTCGATGGTCAGGATGGAGACGTCGAAGGTGCCGCCGCCCAGATCAAAGATGAGCACGTTTCGCTCTCCCTTGAGGTTCTTGTCCAGCCCGTAGGCCAGTGCGGCCGCTGTGGGCTCGTTGATGATGCGAAGCACATTCAGACCGGCGATGGCACCGGCGTCCTTGGTGGCCTGGCGCTGGGAGTCGTTGAAGTAGGCGGGTACTGTGATGACCGCGTCCCGGATCGAAGTGCCCAGGAAGGCCTCGGCAGTCTCCTTCATCTTTGTCAGCACCATCGAACTGATCTCCTCCGGGGCAAAGCGCTTCTCCTCGCCCTTGAACTCCACACTCATCTTGGGCTTGCCGCCGTCGTTGACCACTCGGAAGGGCCAGTGCTTAATGTCCTCCTGGATCTTGGAGTCGTCGAAGCGTCGGCCGATAAGTCGCTTGGCGTCGAACACGCTGTTCTTGGGATTCATCGCCACCTGGTTCTTGGCGGCGTCTCCGATTAGGCGCTCAGAATCTGTGAATGCCACATAGCTTGGCGTGGTGCGGTTGCCCTGGTCGTTCGCAATGATCTCCACCTTGCCGTGCTGGAACACACCCACGCAGGAGTACGTGGTGCCCAAGTCGATTCCGATAGCTGGCATCTTGGTTGTTGTGTGTGTTCTTCTTCTCGATTACTAATAAATTAATTGTGTATCTCTTGCTTTTCGTGTTCTCTTTGCTCTTGGTTCTGGATTCACTTTATATATACACTTTTCAATTTCAATTTTTAATAATATATTTCTTGGCTGCTTGTCAGCTTTCGTTTGTTTATCGCTTGAAGTTTTCACTTTGACTGTTTGATTTCAAATGTGCCGGGTGGAAATTTGCGCCGCTATTTATACCCGGACGCAGTGAGGGGAAATTTCTAGATTTCCCTGCTAGAAGAGTGCAGAAGGTTCGAGTCGTTTCGCGTAAGTGCGAGCGAGGCAACCATAGGCTGTTGTTCGAAGGGGTAAGTTTGTAATGGAAAGGAGTATAAATTTCTGGAACCAGGGAAGCACTGGGACACCTTTTGCATTGGAGTAGGTCAGCAATGTCTCGTTCATATACTGAGTATATTTTTGGCTTTTACATATTCAAAATTAAATATGAAGAGCTTATTTTTAGATGAGACGTTTTAGTCATCATTGGTTGTTTATAGGCCTTTTCCAAATACACACAATATGTACACAGACTTGAATTTTGTTTGTTTATACATATGCTTTCATTTCAAAACAAACCTTTTATTTTGTTTATTATGTGGGAATAGAAACTTATCATATTTTGGCAAGAGTCCGAAATTATTCATATGTACATACTTATGTATATGTTATAAAGATTGAAGATTGATTGTATAAAAGATTGAAATTATTGGATGCCAGTATATGGTAATTAATTTTTGTTTGCTTTGAATTGAGAGAAACATTTCAATTTGTTTTAATAAGTTTTAAACTGAAAGATAAAAAATAGATTCAATTATAATAAGTGGAGTAAAAATAAATATGTATGTACCTAAAAACTAACGGAAGCTGGAAGCGAAAAGCGGAAAAATAAAAATGTTCAAATTTAAATACATATTTGCACGCGTCAATAAAGCAATTAAAGTGATCGCAGTGACTAAGCTCACCGATCTAAAAATAAGCTTTTCATATTCAATTTTGAATATGTAAGCGCCAAAAATATATTCCGTATGCTTATATAGTCGGAAAAGCGTTGACCTACGACAATTCAAAAGGTGTCCCAGTGCTTCCCTGGTTCCAGAAATTTATACTCCTTTCCATTACAAACTTACCCCTTCGAACAACAGCCTATGGTTGCCTCGCTCGCACTTACGCGAAACGACTCGAACCTTCTGCACTCTTCTAGCAGGGAAATCTAGAAATTTCCCCTCACTGCGTCCGGGTATAAATAGCGGCGCAAATTTCCACCCGGCACATTTGAAATCAAACAGTCAAAGTGAAAACTTCAAGCGATAAACAAACGAAAGCTGACAAGCAGCCAAGAAATATATTATTAAAAATTGAAATTGAAAAGTGTATATATAAAGTGAATCCAGAACCAAGAGCAAAGAGAACACGAAAAGCAAGAGATACACAATTAATTTATTAGTAATCGAGAAGAAGAACACACACAACAACCAAGATGCCAGCTATCGGAATCGACTTGGGCACCACGTACTCCTGCGTGGGTGTGTTCCAGCACGGCAAGGTGGAGATCATTGCGAACGACCAGGGCAACCGCACCACGCCAAGCTATGTGGCATTCACAGATTCTGAGCGCCTAATCGGAGACGCCGCCAAGAACCAGGTGGCGATGAATCCCAAGAACAGCGTGTTCGACGCCAAGCGACTTATCGGCCGACGCTTCGACGACTCCAAGATCCAGGAGGACATTAAGCACTGGCCCTTCCGAGTGGTCAACGACGGCGGCAAGCCCAAGATGAGTGTGGAGTTCAAGGGCGAGGAGAAGCGCTTTGCCCCGGAGGAGATCAGTTCGATGGTGCTGACAAAGATGAAGGAGACTGCCGAGGCCTTCCTGGGCACTTCGATCCGGGACGCGGTCATCACAGTACCCGCCTACTTCAACGACTCCCAGCGCCAGGCCACCAAGGACGCCGGTGCCATCGCCGGTCTGAATGTGCTTCGCATCATCAACGAGCCCACAGCGGCCGCACTGGCCTACGGGCTGGACAAGAACCTCAAGGGAGAGCGAAACGTGCTCATCTTTGATCTGGGCGGCGGCACCTTCGACGTCTCCATCCTGACCATCGACGAGGGATCCCTGTTCGAGGTGCGGTCCACCGCCGGAGACACCCACCTGGGCGGCGAGGACTTCGACAACAGGCTGGTTAACCACTTTGCAGAGGAGTTTAAGCGTAAATTCAAGAAGGACCTGCGAACCAACCCACGTGCCCTGCGTCGCCTTCGCACTGCGGCTGAGCGGGCGAAACGCACCCTTTCCTCCAGCACGGAGGCGTCCATAGAGGTGGACGCCTTGTTTGAGGGCCACGACTTCTATACCAAGATAAGCCGGGCGCGGTTCGAGGAGCTGTGCGGTGACCTTTTCCGCAACACCCTACAGCCAGTGGAGAAGGCACTGAACGACGCCAAGATGGACAAAGGGCAGATCCACGACATCGTCCTAGTCGGTGGCTCGACGCGCATCCCCAAGGTTCAAAGCCTGCTGCAAAACTTCTTCAACGGCAAGAGCCTGAACCTATCCATCAACCCCGACGAGGCTGTGGCCTATGGTGCTGCCATCCAGGCGGCCATTCTCTCGGGCGACGAAAGCAGCCAGATCAAGGATGTTCTGCTGGTGGACGTGGCTCCTCTCTCGCTAGGAATTGAGACCGCTGGCGGCGTGATGACCAAACTGATTGAACGCAACAGCCGCATCCCCTGCAAGCAGTCCAAGACCTTCACCACCTACGCGGACAACCAGTCGGCCGTGACTATTCAGGTGTTCGAGGGAGAGCGCGCCCTTACCAAGGACAACAACGTGCTGGGCACCTTCAACCTGACTGGAATCCCTCCAGCCCCGCGAGGAATACCGAAGATCGACGTTACCTTCGATCTGGACGCGAACGGCATCCTGAACGTGACCGCCAAGGAGCAGGGAACGGGCAACGCCAAGAACATCACTATCAAGAACGATAAGGGCCGACTCTCGCAGGCGGACATCGACCGCATGCTCAGTGAAGCGGAGAAGTACGCTGAGGAGGACGAGCAGCACCGCCAGCGGATCGCCGCCCGCAACCAGCTGGAGAGCTATGTGTTCGGTGTCAAGGAGGCGGCCGAACAGGGCGGCGACCGCATCAGTGAGGCGGACAAGAGCAGTGTGCTGGAACGTTGCAACGAGGCGGTGCGCTGGCTAGACAGCAACACCACCGCCGAGAAGGAGGAGTTCGAGCACAAGCTGCAGGAGCTTACCAAGTTCTGCAGCCCCATCATGACTAAGATGCACCAGCAGGGGGCTGCAGGTGGAGACGGCCACCAAGGGGCTTCCAATGGCTTCGGCAAGGGCCCCACTGTCGAGGAGGTGGACTAAGTAATAGAATCCTACATAAGTCTAATGTATTATATTGTTAAAAGAAGTCTCTTATGTAGATCTCAACCAAAAATCCCATAAACCAAATATTAAAGCTATGTTAGAATATACGTTATACGGTAATAAATTGTTTTTGTAAATATTACAAAAGAAAAGTGTTTGCCTTCCGTAATGGAATTTGGGTGGTCTTCAGTGATTTAAAACGGATTTAAATATATAAACGTAGAGGTTTCATTGCACAATTCATTATTGATACTCTATGAATGATATTTAAGGTTCTTTACAGACAGTTTGGTTTTGAAATTGGTATTTTTTATATTATGAGTTTCTGTTTAACCTATTTTGGCAGACCCTCTCTCTTAGCCCAATCCAGCCAGGATCCTTCGTAGTTCTTTACATTCCGGAAGCCCAAGGCGGCGGCGGATTCAGCAGCCTTAAGACTCCGCTTGCCAATCTTGCAGTGGAAGATGATTTCAGTGTCCGGCTCCGGCTTCTCCCTGCCGTACTTGGACTTGAAGACCTGCCCGCTGGCAGCCAACTCCTGGCTAACGACGCCCAGGGGAATGTTTATGCTGGATGGGATTTGACCGGTTTCCTTTAGCTCTTCCGGCTCACGGACATCGATGAGGAGTTTCTGGGGTTCGCTGGGCAGTTTCTTGATGACGTCGTAATCCACAATTCCGATGGCAGCGGGCCCATTGCTGCTGTAGAGACGCTTCAAAAGATTTCTCTGCGGGATCAGTGTGAGCCTCTGTGAGTTGGCCGCGCTGAGAGCCTGTGACCCTGAGATCCTTAAGGCCATTATGCAGTGTTTCACGAGCATAATTAGTTTGAGAATAATGAACGAATTCAACAATAAATAACAAATATTACGTAAAATCGCAAACAACAACAAATGAATGTCGGCTCAGCTGTTAGTCAGAAAGTTGCCAGACCAATTTACTCTAATAAGAATATTTAAGGGAAATTCTGGTGGTGAGATTTGGACATTTTGAATGTGGTGACTTTTTGTTTTGAATTAGTTTACTTCTTCCTTTATTCAGGAAGACCCTCTTTCTTCGCCCAGTCCAGCCATGAACCCTCGTAGCTTTTGACTTTTCGGAAGCCCAATGCGACGGCGGTTTCTGCCGCTTGCAGACTTCGTTTACCACTTCTGCAGTAGAAGATGATTTCGGTGTCCGGCTGAGGTTTCTTCCGGCCATATTTGCACTCGAAGATCGACTTGCTGGCGATGAGCTCTTGGCATAACAGAGCCAATGGAATGTTGATGCTAGTGGGGATTTGGCCAGTCTCTTTCAGCTCCTTGGGCTTCCGGACATCGATGAGCAGTTTCTGTGGTTCACACGGCAGCTTTTTGACAAAGTCATAGTCCACGATCTCAATGGCAGGCGGCTGTTCTTCACTGCCAAAGAAGCGCTTCATGTTACCTTTATGGAAAATAAAACTAATTATTTGTGACTTCTTGGGCAGGTGTGCTCTTGGAGCCACCAAACAGCGCTTAAGCAGCATTTTTGTTAGATTAATTTGTAATTTTTGAACTTCCAAAATGATTTCCAGCTTACTGCGATTATTTGACCAGTAGTGGAAGATACATATATACTCTTTCAGATAAAAATAAAAACTGGTATGGTAAGTGCCTCCTTCGCCTCACCCTCGGTACCAGGAGGTGGGAGAAGGTTCGTGTTGAGACCTCCCGGAGCTCCTTAAGCAGCAGTCGCAGAATACAATAACATAATATTAAATATATAAACACATAATAATAAATACAGTAGAATCTACCTACCCTAATGTTTGCTGACGCAGATCAAAGCTAAGCAAAAATCTGTTGCCAGGTCGGATGACCAAAACATCACTCTCCGACTACGTGAAGTGTGTGTATGTCAAGGCCTGTGGCCCAATCGCTTCGCCGAATCACACCCGTCACCGCCAGCCTGATAAGTTCAACGAACATGGCTCCCGGCGGCCGGACTGTGCTTGATTGAATCAATTAAGCGGAATGGATTGCGATCCCGGATTCGCAATGCTCAAGTAAACACTTGTCAGGGTGTGCGAAGAGAGCATCTTTACCATCGGGTAAAGCGGCACGCGCTTGTCTAGCCCGAAAGGTTTTTGGGTTCGGATTCCGGTGGCGTGATTACTATCCGGGAAGGGGATGGGATGAGATGGAAGTCCCCCTTGCGGTCAGTTCCCACCGATAAGAGAGCCGGCCGGCCACAGACGTAGTCTTCCTAGGTTCTTCTCCACACGGGGGTTCAACGACTCTCCGTTTCGGGCCGGTTGTGGTAGCGGAGCTTATCAAAGGCGTTCCTGATAAGACCTCCTGGCCAACCCACCTCAACAATCGGTGCTCTAGTTAGAAAGCGTGTGCCGAGAATCAGTTAATTACCGTTTATGGTCTTTTTTGTTTGTTCTCAAATATATTTCGACTTTTTATTGTAAAAAATATGGCTTACGGACTACAGAGAAATGGCAACAATACACAGTGTTAGCTTCGCAGGACGTTGTTCACAAAATACCTTTGCCTGGGACACGAGCGTCTAATGCTAATACAACAAGTGATATGAACAGATGGGTGATAGGACTTTGCACTTATTCGGTACAGGATGCGGCGCGTACAGGATGCGGGTGATCCTCCTTAATGGGAGCCGGCAATGTGGCCAAGCGACTCGCCTACGCGGATCTTCTGGCCCGCAACGATGTCGAACTTGAAATTCTTGGGCGCCTCAAAAAGCAGGACTATTGTGCTTCCCATATTGAACTGGCCGACAAGCTCACCCTTCCCGAACTCCTTGGGTGGCCCTTGGGTTACCTGGTTCAGGGCGAGCTCGTCATACTCGTAGGTGCTAGGCGGGTGCTTGCCCACGTTTAAACCTGTCCAGCGGTTGGTCTTCAGTTCGGCGTCCATGTAGATCTCCACAGAACCCACGTTGGTGGCGCCCACGGCGGTGTAGGAGAAGAAACCGTGCTTCCATTGGCCCATGTACAGAACGCGTTCGTTAAGGCAGAACAGGCCGGGCAGCCAGCCGGCCACCTTGGGGCTCACGGACAGCAGTTCGCCGGAAAAGTGGCGACGGATGGTGGGCTGCCAAGCGGTGGGCGAGTGGAATCGGTGGTAGTCTCCAGGGGCCAGGTATATCACACATTGGTACAGTTCTGTGGAACCGTCGCTCTTCTTCTTCAGAGCCTGCGCATAGGGCTCACCAGAGTTGGCCTGCTCCAGTGTTTGCAAGGGGCCCAGGAAGTCCTCGATACTGTAATTGACGCCTTTAACCTGCTCGATCAGCGAATCCGACGCGCTGCCGAAGTGCAGGACCTTTCCATCGGCAGGTGACACGAGGGGAGCATTCTGGTCGATAATGCGGGCGCCTTCCTTCAGTGGGCGTGTGAAGAATTCGGCCAGACTGTTGTAATGCTCATATTCCGGATACTGGGCCTCCGACAGGTTCACATTGAACGTGTTGGAGTACCAGCCGTAGACATATGGACGCAGGGTGGGCGGCAGGTAGCAGGCGGCCAGCCAGCCCCAGCAGCGGCTGAGGATGCGCAGTGGCAGCGAGCAGTAGATGCGCGACTGCAACTCAGAGGCAGTCCTCGGAAGGCCATCTCGCTCACAGCGCTTCTTATGTAGCTGCCATTCGATGGCTCCGAACACACAGACGCCCATGGGGGCCCAGCGTAGCAGAAAGCCGGTCCAACGGGAGAGTACATTACGTCGGAGCTGGGCAACATCCTGGCTGGAACTCTGTTTCTGCTTGTGCAGCGGCGGTCGTCGGTGGTGGAGAGGAGCCTCCTTGGAGGCGGAATTCGTGGAGAACTGACGAACGTGACGCACCACCGGCAAGCTGCCGTTCTGCGCCTGAGTTCCCTGTGGTCCCTTAATAACCTGGAGCTGGAGCTGGGCTGGCTGGTGCTGCTGCTGCACCACCTGTCTGAGATTGCCGGCCTTGAGCAGGAAGCGGCCACGAGGTACGAAATAGGAAACCATTGTTGTTGTCGCTGTTGCGACAGCCGCCGCCGCTCTAATCACGTAATCACGTCTGTATGCCAGATAAAAATGGCACGATGTGTATGGAACCGGGAACTGGTCGGTCGGTCGGTCTTTGCTTCTGTTGTTTAATCTCCGCAGCGCAATTTAGGGGGGCCTTTAGGTGACTGGAACCCGCAAATCCGGCTACTGCCTAAGAACAGATGCAAATCAAAACACTGGCATGCGATGGGGACTCGGACGGAGGCGGCACTTTTAGTCAGAAGGCTAAGTGGGGGAGGAGTAAGGAAATCGTCGAGGTTTCAATTTGTTGCTTCCGAATCGTTGTGTTGCCTGCAAGAGACTGAAAGTTTTCCATGGGCTTTCGAAACCGAAGAGGCGGCAGCAATGTGACCATTGCCAGTGCTGCCCACAGACCCTGCTCGCCGCTGATCAAGTTTATGGCTAGATTACAAACCGTCACAATCTCTGGGCTGCCTAAATTCTCAAATACTCAAATCTTGATAACAAATAGTACTCATAGAAAAGGAGAAAAACAATAATCAAATTCCCTCCTAGTTGTTATTTGTGTGGTATTTTTTATTCTGCTGCAAACGAAAGATTATAATTTAAATTAATGGCTCACTTCTTGCAAAGCTCTTATCTTTTGCATGAAACTGAACAATTGATTGCGGAAGTCAATGTCCTTAACCTCTAATACTTTCTACAAGAGGTGGTCGCTTGAAATACGTCATTTTCTTAAATTTTAATCTTTTATTCATGCTTTAAATGACAAATAATTCCATTGACGTAGCGATTTTTGGCCTCGCAACATCAAATTAAATAGTTGATTAATAATTTTAGAGATTATTGGGTTCTTTATGATTAAAGTTCAAACAAACAAATCATTTTGCATTATTATTTTATAATATTTTTAAAAGCTAACTTCCAGAAATACAGCGGGAAACAAGCTAAACTTGGCTATCAACGGCAAGCCAGAAAGGTAGGACTGGCGACGACGCTGCGTCTCATGTGCTTTATGCTTACCAAAACAAATAAAAGCGAAACCACTTGACTTCTCTCGCAACAGCTTATCAGCAACAATAGTGGCCAAGGCCTGCGGCTACACGGCACGCTTAAGCTCTCCTCCGGACACTCTTGGGGCAATGTTTTTATTTTAAAACTGGTTTTAAACGTTCTTTTCTCTCCGCTTGTTCAATTTCTGTCCGATTAACTGCGTCGTTGCCCGTTTGTTTCCGTTGTTTATTCGGTCAGGGGTGGCAACTCTGGCACCAGCTGCAAACAGCTGATGAATTATTTGTGTTTTCTCACCCTCGGAAAAATAGTATATAATTATATTTGAATGCTCGGATCGCAGGACCAGGAAAACATATAGCTGCTACAATGAGCGAGGCGGAGAAACAGGCGGTGTCCTTCGCCTGCCAGCGCTGTCTGCAGCCCATCGTGCTGGACGAGCAGCTGGAGAAGATCAGTGTCCATGCCATGGCGGAGTTATCACGTAGGAAAAAAAGCAATCAGCAAATGGCCGTATTTTTATGAATCACCTTTTTCAGTGCCTATCTATGGGGACAATGGAAACGCCTTGGACCCGCAGGACGCCAGCAGCTTTGACCATTTCGTTCCGCCCTACAGGCTCACGGACTCTATCAATGGCACTGGGTTTATGCTGGTGTCCGATGGGCGGGACAGCAAAAAGATGAGCGCTGCCTTCAAGCTAAAGGCCGAGCTTTTTGACTGCCTTTCCTCCAACTCCGAGATCGACCATCCCCTATGCGAGGAATGCGCCGATTCCATGCTTGAGATCATGGACCGAGAGCTGCGCATCGCCGAGGACGAGTGGGATGTGTACAAGACGTATCTGGACGAGCTCGAACAGCAAAGGGAGGCCCCTAACGTGGATGCCTTGGACAAAGAGCTGGACGAACTGAAACGCAGCGAGCAGGAGTTGCTCTCGCAGCTGGCCGAGCTCAAGGAGGAGGAACAGTCGTTAAACGCAGCCATCGCACAGGAGGAGCTGGAGAGGGAGCAGCTGCACGAGCAGGAGGAAAGCTACTGGCGAGAGTACACCAAGCACAGACGTGAACTGATGCTCACAGAGGACGATAAACGCAGCTTGGAAAGCCAAATCGCTTACTCGCGGCAGCAGCTGGACAAACTGCGGGATACCAACATTTTCAACATCACCTTTCACATATGGCATGCTGGCCACTTTGGCACCATCAATAACTTTCGGCTGGGCCGCCTGCCCTCCGTTTCCGTGGACTGGTCTGAGATCAACGCCGCCTGGGGCCAGACAGTGCTCCTACTATCCGCCCTGGCCCGCAAGATCGGACTCACCTTCGAACGGTACCGTGTGGTGCCGTTCGGCAATCACTCCTACGTGGAGGTACTCGGCGAGAACCGGGAGCTGCCACTCTACGGCAGTGGCGGCTTCAAGTTCTTCTGGGACACTAAGTTCGATGCTGCCATGGTGGCCTTTCTCGACTGCCTCACTCAGTTCCAGAAGGAGGTGGAGAAGCGGGACACCGAATTCCTGCTGCCCTACAAAATGGACAAAGGCAAGATCATCGACCCCTCCACGGGAAATTCCTACTCGATCAAGTAAGTCTTTTAAGAAATAATGAAAAACATTCGAATAACGCATCTCAATCTCTTGCAGAATCCAGTTCAACTCGGAGGAGCAGTGGACGAAGGCTTTAAAATTCATGCTGACAAACCTGAAGTGGGGATTGGCTTGGGTCTCCTCGCAGTTTGTGTCGCCCTGAGGCAATCGTTTATTTTTACATTTACCTTCATATTAATCCTACTATTAGTGCTTAGTATTAATTTTAAACTATTAAATCATTAAAATTTTAAATGCTATTGTCACTTCTAGTTCTTAATGGACGCTTTCTGCGCCTCTTCCTCTTCACTGTCGTCTGTGTCGGAATCGGAACCGGAGATGTCATCGCCAATCCAAAGGGCTCCCTTTTTCTTCTTTTGGCCGTTGTCTTGTCCTCGGTGGGGGATTTCCGCTTGGTGCCGCCACTAGTGGAAGGCTGTTCCTGGGCAGCCTGCTTTTCCTTGTTGTTCTCCTCTGCCTTCTTCAGTCCCTCCTCGAAGGCGTCGTTCACCTTCTCGGTGAGATTGGCCCTGGCCTCCTCGTATTGGTCATCCTTGAAGTCGTGCTTGGGCACAGCCAGAAGCTTCTCGATCTTACGTTTCTTTCGCTCCTCAGCCTCACGTTCCCGCTCACCTTGCTTGTCCAGCCAGGCACGCACTCGCTTCTCTTCGTTGATGTCCCGCAATCGGCGCCCACTCAGATCGCGGCAAGCTTCGCGATTGGTGGTCTTCTCTATTTGAGCGCCAATGGCTCGGAGCATAGAACCGAATCCACCCTTGCCACCCACCTGGCGAAGGATGCAGTGTACATTTCCGTCTGTAAGGACTTGGCCCTTAATGCGTTTGCCATTGCTCACCAGGTAATAATCCGCGGACTGGAGGTTCTGGAAACACCAAACACATTTAGGTAAAATCGTGAAATTCTGGCAGAAACACTCGTACTTACCGTGTGCTTCTCGATCCGGCTACATAGCTCACTATAGTCACTGTGATCCCCGCAGGTAATTAAATGTTTACAGTTTATAAAAATATTAATGACCATTTCTGCGTTCTTCGCAGTTCCGTTTTGTGCTGTTGCAGCTGCGTATGTTAGAAAGAGAAAGCGGTGATGCAAGCGTTTATCGATGGTGCTAGGGTTGTCCTCTTTTCGATAAATTAAATTAAATTGATTAAATTTGTTTAATATGAAATTGATTTGGGTTAATACTCAACTTAAAGCATATGTTATAAGAATGGCTTATTTATATATAAAAAAAATCAGGGTGATTTGCTCGATTTTAACTAATTTCCCAGATTGCCGCCATTGCGTTTTTCTTTATGAGCGAGTTGGCAGCGCCGTCCTCTCGCACACAAAGTCTCATTAATTAGTTCGCATTTTAGACGACGAAGGTAAAATTTTAGCGACGTGTTTATCGTACATTTTAAACCAGCAAACCCAACGAAAGTTGTGCAAATTTAATAAAAACCGGTGGCGGCTAACCTTGGCTGCAAAGTGAAGTGTGCGAAAAGAGTGCAGCGCATGTAAAATGCGGTAAATTTACAACCGCAGCCACGTCACAGAGCGGAGCGCTTAAAATGTCGAGCGAAGAGAGTGCGGATTTCGGCTGCGAAATCATGAATTCTGGGCAGTGTCGGACAATGGGCAGAAATATTGTACTTAGCCGCGTTTAAAGTTAATCCCAGCTTTCGGCATCGCGTCTGGGGCGAGGGCGTGCGGGGGTGTGGCGCGGAAGGGAGAGGGGAGCGGCATAAAAAGATGGCAGCACGAAACCGAACGAGATACATACATACATATATAGACGGGATGGATGGAAGCGGCAAGCTGAAAAGGCAATGAAAAGTCCCACATTCAAATTGCATTGGTGTTAGTATTGGCATTAGTTTTAAATGCTCAATAACCAAAACCGAAAAAAGCGAAGAAAAGTGGCGACTCATGTGAGCAAAACGCAAACAAAAAGACCAGCGCAAGACGCCTCTCTGTGTCCGTGTGTGTATGTGCGTGCATCTGTGTGAGTGAGTGAGTGAGTGCGAAAAGAGACGAAGAAAATAAGCAGCAGCAAATGAGCAACAAAAACCACCCCGCCATCCCCTGTTTCCCGTTCCCTTTTCGCCGTCTCTTCTATTCTGTTCTGTTCTGTGACTTTGACTGACATTTTCTAGCGCCGCCGCCGCCGCAGAAATAATCAAAATCAAGTTTAGTGCCATGCAAATTGAAATTTGATTTTGCCGAAAGAAGAATTAAGAATTAGAACGCAATCGACAGAGAAGGAAAAAATCTAATGCAACCGTGCGCCCGCCGGTTTTGCAAATTTCCCTCCTCTTTCTCCATGTTATCGACGGTCATTCATCTGGTTGATTTTCGTTTTGGCCGTTCGCCCTATTTTCGTGTATGCGTGAGTGTGCGCTGTTCCGCTTAGAATTCGGGTAAAGTGCACCGCAGAATACGGGTCATTATTAATTATAAACTAAATCATTTTGCCAGACCCGCAAATTCGTTGCGAATGAATGGCTTTTGTCAATTGTAGGCGATTGGCTTTGTTATAAAAGCGGCCAGCCTCTCTCTTTCTCGCCCTCTCTTACTCTCTGCACGCGTAAGTGTGTGCGTGCGAGGGAGCGTGCGCACGTGTGTGCGTGTCCCTGCACTGCTTTGCCGCCTTCGGTGGCTCTTTGTTCCCCGCTGGGAAAGGGGAAGCGGGCAGGGACAGTGGGAGCGGTAACGCAGGGTAGGGGGCGAGCTCCATTTATATCCATATCATTTGCCTAGCTAAAGCCCCCACCGATCATGTGCTGTTAGCCTTGTCCCACTATCCCGGATATAATCAGCCCTTCAATAATAAACCGAAATTTCAAACGGCTGTCGGAAATTTACGGTCTTACAACCAAAAATTGTTTTTGTATAAATATATTTAAACATTTGTTAAAAACTAATTTTGTCTACTTTTGTGTCTTTTGCAGCATTGATTCCCAGGGATCAGCTTCGAAACCCAAAAACTGCAACAACTAATCAAAGTTAACCTGCGAACTCTTATATAGCCAACTAATTTTTGTACGACAACAAACCCCGAAACATAGGAACCGTAGCAAACAACAGTAACTAAAGTATTCAAAAATACATTTATACAATCCTGTATATTGAACGGACAACTTATTTATAAAGTGAAAATCAAAGGATCGACAAGCAGTACCAAGTACCCCAAAGGCACCCAGGGAATCCCCAGATCCAGATTCAGTCCCCCAAAGGAAAACGGAGTTATATCCATATAAGCATAGATTGCGACAAATCGTATATTCCAAAACACTCCATTAGCAGTTAGTTAGGACAGATATATTAATACATATATATACATATATACAAAATTTTCAATTAGGCGCCAGATTAGAAACGAAAGCAAAGCAATATAAACGACGAACCTCAGAGATACAGCATATATAATTAATATAATCCAAATACAAAAAATCCCAGCCAAGTCGAGAGTGAGTTCGTAATATAGAGAATACAGAGAGATTCGAAATTGTAGACCAGTTCTTTGTTAGCTCCTAGCGCACTCTTTAGCCCGCAATCAACGTATTTAAGCCCATTTTGTATATGCAAGTTATAATCAACTAGGTAGGAACCCAACAATACCGCACTCCCTCCGGTTCATGCGGCCATCAGTCTAAGAGCCGGATCCTAGAATATAGAAAGTGTCGAGGGCAGCAGAGTGCAAGAACCTAGTGTAGATCCCAGACATCCGCCAGCCATGGACGAGTCACAGCCGAAGACCCTTTATGTGGGCAATCTGGACAGCTCTGTGTCCGAGGACCTGCTCATCGCTCTCTTTAGCAAAATGGGCCCTGTCAAGAGCTGTAAAATAATCCGGGAGCCGGGCAACGATCCCTACGCCTTCATCGAATATTCCAACTATCAGGCAGCCACCACAGCCCTGACCGCCATGAACAAGCGCCTCTTCCTAGAGAAGGAAATTAAGGTGAGTCTAGAATTTGTACACCAAAATGCTGATAACTGACATTACATTACAACTAACTGAGCAGCAACTTGTAATGTTTACTTTTTGTACCAAAGTCATCCCTCAGTACTGATATCGTGTTTTTAGGCTTGGAGATCTTTCATTAATTGTTGAGAAGTTCCATTATGTACATTAATTAATAAGCACCTATTAAAAAATGCCAAATTTTTCCAGGTCAATTGGGCCACCAGTCCCGGCAATCAGCCCAAGACAGACATCAGCTCGCACCATCACATATTCGTGGGCGACCTTAGTCCCGAGATCGAGACAGAGACGCTGCGGGAAGCATTCGCCCCGTTCGGCGAGATCTCGAACTGCCGCATCGTGCGCGATCCGCACACTATGAAATCCAAGGGCTATGCCTTCGTTTCGTTTGTGAAGAAGGCGGAGGCGGAGAACGCCATTCAGGCAATGAACGGCCAGTGGATTGGGTCGCGATCGATACGCACCAATTGGTCCACGCGCAAGTTGCCGCCGCCGCGTGAACCGTCCAAGGGCGGTGGCCAGGGCGGCGGCATGGGTGGTGGCCCCGGAGGCAACGGTTCCGGAGTGAAGGGAACCCAGCGGCACACCTTCGAGGAGGTGTACAATCAATCTAGCCCCACCAATACTACCGTGTACTGTGGCGGCTTCCCGGCGAACGTCATCAGTGACGATCTGATGCACAAGCACTTCGTCCAGTTCGGCCCTATCCAAGACGTTCGCGTTTTCAAGGACAAGGGCTTCTCGTTCATCAAGTTCGTTACCAAGGAGGCAGCGGCACGTGCCATCGAGCACACGCACAACAGCGAGGTCCACGGAAACCTGGTTAAGTGCTTCTGGGGCAAGGAAAACGGCGGCGACAACTCGGCTAACAACCTCAATGCCGCTGCCGCGGCAGCAGCCTCGGCCAACGTTGCGGCTGTTGCAGCGGCAAATGCAGCGGCCGCCGCCGGAGCGGGCATGCCCGGTCAGATGATGACGCAGCAACAGATTGCCGCCGCCACTGGAGCGGCGATACCCGGCCAAATGATGACTCCCCAGCTCGCAGCCGCAACAGCGGCGCAATACCCTTATGGCTACCAGCACATGAGCTACTGGTATCCCCCAGCGGTGAGGATTTGATTTTGTAATATTATTTTACGAATGGATTAATATTTTCGGTTATTCGCAGGCTTACCCCACAACCCAGATGCAGGCGCAGTACATGCAGCAGAGCTACTATCCCTACGCCTACACCACCAGTGCTCAGCAAGCAGGAGGCGTGCGTAAGTGTGCCTGAAACATTCAGGCGCCCAAATTGCCATGTTGAGCGTTACCTAATCTGTTACCTGCTTTCAGCTGCCGGCTATCGCATGGTGCCCCCGAATGTAGCATGGGGCGTGCCCGGAACTGTGGTGCCCGGCGTAACGGCCGCCGCAGCATCCGCGGCCGCAGCAGCGAATGGTTCACTTGCCCCCCAAATGATGTACAGTGCTGCAATGCCACAATACCAGACCCAATGAGCTGAGATGTGACGCCAGCTTCGACGTCGTCTGCAGCATCCGGGCAGTCGCCTCCAGCCGCAGCCACAACCGCCACAGCTGCCACAACTGCCCCATCTGGCGCAGCTTCAGGAACTGCAAGCTTATTACGCACGTTTAGGTTACCTAGAGTACAGGGTAGTCCCTGCCAAGGTGGAGCTGCCCCTCCTGGTTCTACCCGACAGCAACCACATCAACATCATTGGCAGCAGAGAGGCGGCTGAAAATTAAATATGGACGCACGTCCATGTCGGTGTTGTGGCTACGGTTGCGAGTGATTGTGTCGGACTGAAGCGAAAGAGTTGGCGGTGGTTCAGGTCAGGTCCCCCAGCCGATGGTCGAGGCGGTGCGCGTGGAACTCTTCAAGTGAACCACGCTGGTAACAGCAAACTGAAACATCAACTGAAAGCTCCGGGCGATGGGCGGGTAGCTGTAACAATCTAATCCAATCTTAAGTACGTGTTAAAATAATTTAATGATTTCTAGTTTAAGCATAAATAGGCGATATAAACGAGACGGAAACAAAATAAACCGAATGAAAACCTATAAAACAACAAAAAAAAGAAAAAACAAGTGAGAAACAGACAGCAAATAGAGAAAAGGCAAAAAATACGCGACAACAGAACAGAGCAAGTTAAGAGTGGAACCCAACACAATCGAAACCAGAACGTGACAAAGCAAATTGTAATTGTAACTATGTGGAACATGTGTCAACGAAGAAGGCAACGGAGGCGAGAATTAGGATGAAAGGAAAGCAGAGCAAAGGAAAGCCACAAGCAAGCCGAGAAAGCAAAACACACGCGAGTAAAAACAAATTTAGTCAATAAGAGATTGTAAATTTGGGCATACATATTGTGTATTTCCAATGTGAAAAACGAAATGCGATATAAATATGTAAAATGTAAAATAAAGAAACAAAAAAATATATAAAACAAGTGAGAAAACGAACGAAATGTAGTCTCTTTAAAAAAATGATAGTAATATGAAATCAATTTTACTACTCACAAAGAAAAAGTAAACTGTAAGAGCTAGGTCTCCCATTTCAGCCACTTAATTATTTTATTAACTTTGATGAATTATAATATTTATAGAAATCTACTAAATGAAGTCTAGAAATTTACTTTTTTAGTCCAATAAAAACTGCGCTATATGGACTCAAATCCTATTTCAAACAAAATTGTGGTAATCAAGGAGACAGCAATATCGCAAACGAATCACTGGTCGTTGGTGATAGTGAAAGCTTTATGCTCGATAACTAGAAATTGGGTAATTTATTACCATTCGATAATTAGCTTGGAAAGGATTTTAATGTAATTATTCCAAACGGGGTCAATAATTAGAGAAAACTGGACACAGTTAAGTGTGAAATTAAAGCTCAATTTAAAGTAATTAGAAGAGCATGCTTTTATATGACGCTGAAAGTTTTAGAAGATAACAAAGTACGAAATCCAAAAATGAAAGAACTCTTACAAACTGCTTATGAGAAATCTTTCGATCCCAAATGCCAAATGACGATGATGATCCTGATGAATTTCAATGATTTCTTAAAAACATACTACTGCTGATTAAGGATGCACTTGTAATGTCGGTTGAAATTAATTTTATTTAGCGTAATCTATAGCTTTATTTTCAGACAGATACTTTAATATGCATTTATTTGTATGGATCCGTGTTTAGTAACTAGTCATCGAACTCAAATTCCGGGTGGGCGGCGAGCTGTGTAGAAGCTGGTTCCAAGTACCGCGATAAGCGACGGGCGGAGGTGTCGAGATGTTTCTGACAGATCTGAGATAAGACCCGAGCCATAGGCAACTATGGCAATATAACATAGGTATGGCTAGGTGATGATTCGGAGACGATTGTATTAATGGCCGTAGGTACATACATAGATTGAAAACAAAGGAACTAAATCTAGTCTATATCGATACGGAGGAGTGATAACCATTAAAACTTAAATCTGATTATGGGCTGGTAAATGTATCTCTCTTCGGTCTTACAACTATGCTTACGGCTAGATTACATGTAGCTTTCGTGGATGGGGCACTGAATGTACAACAAAAATACGATCTATTGGTTTAGAAATACACTGGAAGTGGTTACAGACTCTTATAACCAGAAAAAAGTCAAACTAAATGGAATGCCTTCAATACTAGCCCCAAGTGAACCTCGGGCGGAACTAGGCGTCTTACTATACTTGCAACTTCACTGGACAGTATGGTGTTCTAAGGTTAAATGAGTATAACGGTCATGGAGAGCCGAATGACAAAGCTCACATCACGTGAACATGACGTTAAAACATAAAGAAAAAATACAAAATATTCTTATTCTAAAGCACACTGAAATCATATTAAATAATTCACAACTGCTTTTCTTACAATGTTTGGTGAAAGGATAAGTCTACGGGATGGAACCGATCCTTACAAGGAGTCACATGATGGAAAAACTAGTGAACTTTTTGAAACTCACATCACAGCTGGCCCGACTAGATTGTAATGTCGCCGTAATCCTGCGACCATTTCTCATAGGAATTAAGGCTCTGCGGGGCCACAGAACGCCGGATGCGCTTCAGCGAGTTGTGAAAGTCCTGCTCCGTGATCGCCCGCATCGCACTGATGTCCAGGCACTTTACTTGCTCCACATTCAACTCGCGAATAGGCTCTAGAGCAGCGTCCTTGGCCAAGGCCGTCAAATCGGAGCCCGAGTAACCATCGGTGATCTTGGCTAGGCGACGCAACGCTTCCGTGTCCAGTGGACTGCCCTGCTTCTGCAGCAGGCGGTTGAGGAGCAGCTCACGGGTCTGCTCGTCGGGCAGTGCGACATAGACGCGCTTAGTAAACCGTCGCAGGGCGGCCTCATCCAGTTCCTGCGGCCGATTGGTGGCGGCCAGCACCACAATGCGATCACCATCTGGATTTCCTGGCAGCCCGTCGAACTCTACCAGGAACTCGGTCTTTAAGCGGCGCGACGCCTCGTGCTCACTGCTGCTTCGCTCCGAGAGCAGTGAGTCTACCTCGTCAATGAAGATGATCGAGGGCTGCATGTGTCGAGCAACGGCAAAAAGAGCCCTCACCAGTTTCTCGCCATCACCCACATACTTGCTAGTCAGCGAGGCCGCCGAGATGTTTAGGAACGTGGCGCTACATTCGGTAGCCACGGCGCGCGCCAGCAGGGTCTTGCCATTACCGGGTGGACCGAACAGCAGTAATCCCTTGGCAGGAGCACGAAGACCTATCCAACAAAGAAGAAAAGGAATTTTAGGCAATGCAGCTCCATTGTTAATAGAAATCATACCTGTAAAAAGTTCAGGTCGCACGGACGGCAGTATGACCATTTCCTGTAGGGCCTGTTTGGCCACCTCCTGGCCCGCAATGTCCGTCCACTCCACCTTGGCCCCGCCTTCGACAATCTCGTCGAGAATAAGCTGCACCAGCTTTTGTTCCACGCCCTTGACACTTACCACCGGAGTGCTGGCGCCACTGCCACTGCTGCTGGGACCGTTATTGTTAATGGGAGTTCGGGAGCGCAGAGGCGGTGTATTGCGACCCGAAGACTGCAGAAGATGAACATATGTATATAAGAAACATTTAGACTCTTGAACCAATCATCAAGGATTAATTATTCTTAAATTGAAAGAAGTGCTTCACTCTTTAATAAGAGAGGGGGGCTTAATTTGCATCTCATATCTCTTTAGAATTTATTTGTTTAGTAATTTTGCCTTTATTGTTTATATATTATTGTTTAATAAACTTAATATGCAGACAATAAACGCAATTTGATAGTCGCGTGAAAGAAGAAAAGATAGTGAGCTTCCAGTATTATTGTTTACATAGCCTTTTTCAGAAGTTGAGTGGCGTTCTTATATTATTCATTTATATTAGAGATACTCACAAACTGGCGCCGTACGGCAGGGGGCGTGGCAGCTGTCTTGGCCGGCTGCCTTTGGACAGCTCCGACGGACGTCTTGGAGCCAAGATTGCGCGGTAGCGTTTGTGACTTGTTGGCAACGGCCAAGTTGCCGGGTCGCTTGGTTCCGATGGTTAGCTTGCGTCCCGAGGCTGGGAAAGAGAATGGAAAGAGTAAATTAAAGGACGATAAGACAAAGAGCACGCCATCTCAAGCTACAAATTCGGGCAAGCGAAATCAAAAAGGTAAGAACCAAGTGCCAAGTGAGTGATTGGATCGATGATGATCTGCTTTTGTTCGTTGCTGTGGGCGCTGCTGGTGGTGAAGATCTGGGTTGAGTGCGCTTGTGAGCTAGTGAGAAACTTACCGCTGGGCTGGACACTGACGGTGGGCGTGGGCTTTGGACCGTAGCCGCTGCTACGCACCCTGGACTTTGCGGGCTCGTTGTTGCTCATTCCCGCCAGCATGGGTTCTCTGAACTTGTGCGGCTGGCTTTGAGCCTGCTCCTTGTGCTCCTTCTGCTTCTCCTTCAAGGAGAGCCGCTGCATTCGAATATCCTCCTCACGCAGCGCTGCGCGTTGGATGAAACACACGACACAATGTGGACAGAACCAAGGCAAAACAACGAAATAGCAGGGTAAAAACGTGCAAAATGAAATAAACCAAAAATAAAAAATGGGATAAATCAAACCTACGTTTCGGGGCAGAGGAGGGATTGGTTGGCCGGAGAGCCACTTACCCAGAAAGTGAAGACGGTCTCGAGCCATCGAGAGATTCGTCTGCATCTTGTCGTGCAGACGTTGAGCCCGATCCCACACATCCCCGCGACCACTCCAGCAGTCTACTGCGATTCCATCCTCCAGCTCCTTGATGCCCTTCCGGTAGAGCTCAATGGCCAGCTCTTTGTGACCTGAAAAGAATAAACCAGATAGAAAGCTTTAGTCAACTGTGAAATACCCTTTTCGAAAACTTATTTAGGGAGATAGGAATAAATACAATTAGAGCTGAATCACACACAATATACCCTTGGGCCACGAGAGTGCCAGGTACTAAAAGCGTTGAAGGATTGCCATCTAGTCAATAGCTGTCCATAAAAACAAGCACAACTCGACTCCCCCAATCCCCCGGCATCACATTTGGGGCATCCTTTGTGCGCGCGTTTCAGTTTATTGATTCTCACACTCAACAGACAACAAAAGCGGCCAGCGGGCGATGACTCATTGAGCATCGGCACTAGAAGTATGGGGCGAAAATTCGAGCTCACCTTCGTTTTCCTCGTCGATCTTGAGCGCCTTGGAGATGTATTCGAAGGCACGGCGATGGTGGTGCTTCTGTTTGGCCAGCAGCGGATCACCGGGGCCAGGGGAGTAGCCACCACCCGGTCGATTGGCGGCCATTTCCAGCGGTTGGATGGCGCGGTAGCGTTGTGGCTGATTGGACAACTGCTGCTCCTGGCCTACTGCTTCGCCGTTCAGTTCCAGCGGATGGTTGAGCGACTGCTGCTGCTGCTCCTTCGAGTTTTGTACCACGATTTCGATGTTGCAGTCGCGGCGGTGCGGGCGGTAAATCACCTTTGTGCTAGCCCCGTACAGGTAGCGAAAGATACAGAACAGCTGATAAATCAGCGAGCGCAGCACGTTGAAGAGGAAGATAATGGGGAACGAGACGACGTAGAGGTTTTGCTTGTGCACGGAGGACGAGCCAATGTACTGGTGGTGGTGGTGACCGCTGCGCGGGGAGCACGAGGTGGGGGTCAGGTCATCGGTGGTGGTGGTGTCGTCGTCGCCGTCGGGCGAGCTACCCGGCGTCGTTCTACGATTCGACGAGGCGGCGGCGGACGAGGATGCTCCGGCTGCTGCTGCGGCGGCGGCTACGTTGGAGGCGCTCGAGGAGCGGTGCGTGGACTGGCGTCCGCTGGCGCCCCCCGATCCGGCTCCGGTGCTGGACTTTATAGGCGATTTGGTGCTACTGCTGCTGGCGCTGGAGGAGGAGGACTGGTTTTTGGTGCGTACCATCGATATCGATTCCGCGCTGTCTGCGCGTTCAGCACTCCGCGCCCCCGCTCACCACACAGCACTCCACTCCCCTTTACAGGGGAAGTTCTGCTCTAAAACTATTAACCACGCAGATAAACGGACGAATAGGACGGTGGCACGCGCTGGAATCGACGCCACATTAAACAAATACACGACTGAGACGCTTCAACAACTTCCCGTCGCGGCAATTGCATTTCTCTGATATCCGAGTCGAGAATCTATTTTTTTCACTTCCGACGTAAAAAAATGAAGCTCTGGATCCCAATCAGTGCTGCCACCTTTGGATTAGCAAATCTGGTGGATAAATAGTTAGAAAAAAGCCATATTTAAATTTCATAAAAAACGGAAAAACTTGAGGGTATAAATGTTAACGATTTATAATTTAAATTTTTACTATTATTTGTTGTATAGTTACAAATGAAATTTTACTATTATTATTACCAACAGTTGTTCTTCATGAGACTAACAATTAGTAGTATCTTTTGATTGGTCAAGTGCTGTATTATAATTTTAACATCAGTATCAGTCAACTTATTGCATTATTATAGCATACAAATTGTTTTTTCTTAAGTATAGAATTCTGGAATACTCTATCAATGAATATTTTTAATCCAAAATATCACCAATTTAAAAATAACAAAGCTGTAGCTGTACATATAGCCGAAAATACTCTCTTAAATTGCATTGTCCAAAATGCTTCAAAATGGGTAATTTTTAGTAACTCAATGTCAAATGTGATTTTAATTAATCCTTTTGTTTCTTGAACGTTTATAAATATTTTAAAACTCCACTCCATCCGTGATTAAGAAGCTTGTTCGGCGCAAAAATGCTAGACTGACATCACGATTACTAAACCAGCTGGCAGCTGGCGACGTAGTTGCCAGACCTCAATTTTTGATTTTGAAAAAAAATTTTTCTACTAGAAACATTTTAATCTAGGACTAGATTCAAAGTCTAGGTCTAACCGAGATTTTAGATGTAGTTAAATCAAGAATTGTTGTTTGTGGACATTGCTAGTCTGGCTACCCTATCGTGAGGTTCCGATAACAGTTACCCGATAACCGATAGCACAACCTTGATACATTAGCTGCCATCCCCATCTCTCTCGGTTGTTTTTTTGCGTTTTTGCATAACAAAATCTCTGAAATTCGCCAGAAACGATCACCATTGCGGGCACAGTGACTAGGAGACCACGAGAGGCACATCCCACTCGCAGGGCAGTCGGAATGGGACAGTACACGGCGTCACAGCGCAAGAATGTGCGGATACTGCTCGTGGGTGACGCCGGGGTGGGCAAGACATCGCTGATTCTTTCGTTGGTCAGCGAGGAGTATCCCGAGGAGGTGCCGCCTCGCGCCGAAGAGATCACCATTCCGGCAAACGTCACGCCGGAGCAGGTGCCCACCAGCATCGTCGATTTTTCGAGTGTGGAGCAGTCGGAGGATGCCCTAGCGGTCGAGATCAATAAGGCGCACGTGGTTTGCATTGTGTATGCGGCGAACGATGATGACTCCTTAGACCGGATCACCTCGCACTGGCTGCCGCTTATACGCGCCAAATGCAATCCCTCCTTGAACGGCGAGGGAGACACTGAAGCAGAGGCAGAGGCTGAGGGGGACACTGAACGGGAGCCCGTGCGGAAGCCCATTGTCCTGGTTGGAAACAAGGTTGATTTGATCGAGTATTCCACCATGGACAGCGTTCTGGCCATCATGGAAGACTACCCCGAGATTGAAAGCTGCGTAGAGTGCTCGGCCAAGACGCTGCACAACATCTCGGAGATGTTCTACTACGCCCAGAAGGCCGTGCTGCACCCGACTTCGCCGCTCTACGTGATGGATGAACAGGAGGTAAGTACTGCAGCGGGTTGGGGGGGTTCGATTTGCCTCGGGTAGCAGTTTTTCATAGGTCGTTTTAGTGTTATCTTTTTTTTAATTATAGACATTATCATAGCGATAAAAAATCTAAAAGTAAGCAATTGCTTATTTTTATAAAGTGAAAAAGTGGAAGAAAAAAATGAACAATAGGGTGGGCGCCAAGACTCTTTTTTGTCTAAAAAATATCCTATCTTTAAATTTGTACAGTTCCTTAAGGCAAATCGAACACCTTTAACTTTTGTATTTTATTAGAACTTAAAACAAATCCTCCGTTATCTAGCTAACTCCGGCCTGCAAGAAGTCGTTGGTGCGCATCTTTAAAATCTGCGACATAGATGGCGACAATCTGCTGAACGACTACGAGTTAAATCTGTTCCAAAGGCGCTGCTTCAACACGCCTTTGCAACCACAGATCCTCGACGAGGTGAAGGCCGTAATACAGAAGAATGTGCCCGATGGCATCTACAACGACGCGGTCACATTGAAGGGCTTCCTCTTCCTGCACTGTCTGTTCATCCAGCGGGGAAGGAACGAGACCACCTGGGCTGTGTTGCGACGATTTGGCTACAATGACCAGTTGGAGATGTGCCAGGAGTATTTGCGGCCCCCCTTGAAAATTCCACCTGGCAGCAGTACGGAGCTGTCGCACCGGGGGCAGCAGTTCCTCATTGCCGTGTTCGAGCGATACGATCGCGATGGAGATGGGGCCTTGTCGCCCGAGGAACACAAGATGCTGTTCAGCACATGCCCGGCATCGCCTTGGTCCTACTCCACGGATATACGCAAGTCCTGCCCCATCAATGAGAACACCGGTTGGGTGACCCTGCACGGTTGGCTCTGCCGCTGGACCCTAATGACGCTTATCGATGTGGTGAAGACCATGGAGTATTTGGCTTACCTGGGCTTCAATGTCCATGAGAATGACAGCCAGTTGGCTGCCATACACGTGACCCGGGAGCGTCGCATCGATTTGGCCAAGCGCCAGAGCAGCAGGTCCGTGTACAAGTGTCATGTGATTGGACCCAAGGGATCCGGAAAGACGGGCCTGTGTCGGGGCTTTCTGGTCGAGGAAATGCACAAGCTAATCGGCAAGGAGTTCAAAACCAATGTGGTACACTGCATCAATTCAGTTCAAGTGTATGGCCAAGAAAAACATCTCATCCTGCGCGACATTGACGTTCGGCACGCCCTCGATCCCCTCCAGCCCCAAGAAGTCAACTGCGATGTGGCCTGCTTGGTCTTCGACTCCTCCAATCCCCGCTCCTTCGAGTACGTGGCTCGAATCTACATTAAATACTATGCGGAGAGCAAAATTCCGGTCATGATAGTGGGCACCAAGTGCGACATGGACGAACGCCGGCAAGACTATCTGATGCAGCCGTCGGAGTTCTGTGAGAAGTACAAGCTACTGCCTCCACACCTCTTCAGTCTGAAGACCAACAAAAAAGAACTGTATACCAAGTTGGCGACCATGGCCGCTTTTCCGTGAGTAAACCCTCAAAATAGTCAACCATAGACAGTAGTTATTTTAGACGTCATCTAACGTTTGGGTCACATCCTAGATTAATGGTTACCTAATATCTTCTTATCTCTTCTCTTCTCCCCTTTTTTTCTGTGTCTTGGTTGGTGTCTGTTTTTCTGTTTTGTTGTGATGTTTGTGTACACGTCGATGGCTTCTCGGATTTTGTGGCTGCAGGCGATTCCAGGCCGCCTGGATACTGTTCTACAAGCACAGGTTGGTACAGCTGTGGGAATCAGCGTAAGTGTTACCATTTCTAACTGAACTCGTTACTAATGTCAGCCTTCTATCTGTTTATTGTTGCCATTTGTTGTTGGTTCCATTCGCCGCGATACCAATGAGCTTCATCTCCGCTTGATTAACGTGGTGTGCGGCAATCATTAGTCTTACCCTTAAAAATTGAACATTTCTCTTGTATTTACTTTTCTAATTCGTCCTTTTTTCTTTCACATGCTAATCTGCAGCCACTTGAGGCAATTCGGCCTCATGACAGACGATCCCAGGCTGTGGTGGAAGGCTGGACTGGGCGTAGCAGCGGCCACAATGCTGGGATTTCTTGTGCTAAAGACCATCAGTTCGGTTAGTGGGCACTCCCGCTAGAAGGATAAACTGCAGTTACACGTTAATGTTTATTAAATTTATGTAACTTATTGATTACCATTTTGCTTGCTACTGTAAATCCAAATTTATTGTTACGAAACGCTAAGCAAACAATGAAAATGGGGGACGCATGCCGATGTTCTCATATTCCAGACATGTAAATACACTCGCGAGGAGCACTCCCAGGAATCAAAGTATGAGCAGGAGCAGTAATCCCTAGGACACTGAATAGCAACTGGCCAGTCGAGCACACATTGTGTACGTTGCATTTCTATTCGTATTGTATTCCCGTAACATAAACCATGTACTCACTCTCTGATAATTCATAAGTTATTGTTACCATTATAATCGAGTAACCGAAACTGCGGAAAACATGCATCGTCGTACATATGTACATGTTCTGGGCCCTTTATAACCCGTATGTATGTTAGACTATACCTAGAAAATCGCCGAATCGGTGGATATCGCACTTTTGTAAATACGCGCAAAGCCCCTTAACTTATGAGCAATAAAACTATATATATATGTGGATTTACATATAGCAAAATTAGCTGAAGTAACCTTTTTTGGTTTGGCTGAGAAAGGAAAAGTGTGGGTACATTATCAGCACCACCAACAACAAAGCATAGCCCAGCATCTAACATAATACAAATACCTCATTTTAATAATAATAATTTATCTTATTTAATCGGAGTCTGGAGACAGGACTCTAGCTTGTCAAGAGTTCTTCAAATACAGTACAAATAGTTTTGCCTTAGATCCTACTTCTGAATCCCATTAATGGCCGCTGCACTAGCCGTGGCTGGGGACATGCAATTGCCATCGGGATATCGCTTTTGGAACTGCGTGATGAGCTCGGGATCCACCAGCCGAATGCCGTCCAACTGATTGCCCAGCGTTATCCAGTTGGGCTGGATGTTGTGAGGTCGGCCGAACAGCTCGATTTTGCGGGTGCCGGGACTGAGGCGCTCAATGATGCCATATATCTCGTCTGGCTTGTGCGAGGTGGCCCGCACCTCGGCCACAATCACATCGCAGTCGAGGCCACGGTTCAGATTGGTGGGATTGCCCTTCATGCCCACCAGGCAGTGCTCTTTTCCGTGGTTCAGCCAGTGACCAGTCCGGCCCGTACGTATAATTCGTTGCAGCTGATTGGTCTTCACCCAAATGAGCTCGTCCACCCGCTCGTAGCCCCACAGCTTGAGGCAGTCGCGTCCCAACTCCATGGCTCTGCCTGTGACCCAGAGGAAGATTAGGCCGTCGTCCTGAAGAGCTGGCACACCCAAAGCACGCATTTCGTCATCCGACATTGTGCCATAGGGCAGCTCCATGTGGATATCCCAGGGCGGATCGGCCATTACCACCGCAAACTTGCCCAGCACTGTCATGTCCAGGAAGCGCAGGTCGCACTGAATCCATTGGGGCGGATACAGCGTGCAGCTGGAGTCGATGCTACGCTTGAGACTCAGTTTTGTCTTGACATCCGTCGGCTTATTAGTGTTAATATGCGGCAGTGTGTCCACTTCGTAATGTACGTACTTGCAGGTGGCCATGTGAAAGCAGGTGTTGAGGAAGCTGCAGTCACCCAGCGACTCGTCTGTGTGCGCCTGAATAATTTTCTTAAAGTGCAGCTTGGTGCACTTGTCCGTTGTTTCGCTGCCGGAGCTATCACTGCCATCGGTAGACTCCTGTGACTCGACCTCGATCACCTCCGGGATGATCTCGCCATCCTCTGCTACGGAGTCCGTAGATTTAGGTAACTTTCCGCTGCTGCTCGTCCCCGCCTCCACATCCGTGCGTAGATCCTTCTCGTCCCTTCGCTCCTGCTTCTTCTTAGCGGCCATCTCGGCAGTGGCCTGCTGAGCCTTTAGACACTCTACCTTGGTGCCATGGGAGCAGAACTCCATGACCTGCGCTCCGCCATGCGATTTAAACTTCTCTGCCACGGATCGCTCCTTGGCGGTGGGCTTAGTGAGCAGTTCCAGGATCTCCTCGCCTACCTGCTTGCTTTGCTTCTCGCGGGTTGAGGGCATGGAAAGCAGCATCATGATGTCGTCGGGAGCGTCCAGACTTGTAGATTCTTTACGTGTTGCACTTGTGTCCAGCTTGGGAGTCTTTTCCTGCGGCTGATCCTCATCCTCGTTCTCCACCTGATCGGCCACTGTAGGAGAGAAAATACGCAACTCGTAATCGTTCCACTCTAAGAAAGAACTGAACACTACAAGACCCACATTTTCTTTTGGCCTCCTCTTCCCTTTGTTGACAAGTGTCATTGGTGTCGTCTAGGATCTCCTTCAGCTCCTTTGGCTGCACCGAAATGATCTCGCAACCGGTCTCCGTACCGATGGTCACATTACGAATACCAATCGCACCACGGCTTGCCAGTTTTCCCAGTATAAAGTTGACCATCTCCAGGGTGCTGCCAGGAATCTTCTCTACAACCTGGGTGGACACAATGGGCAGGGCCAGGGAGCAGGCACTGAGCGACTGCAGCACCTCTTTCTGCACTTCCAGGTCGGCCTCAACTGTAATGGTATGGGAGCGATGCTTTAGGTGTTCAACATGTTGCCACAGGTACATACCCAGTTCCTTTTTGGGATTTGTGATATCTTCCTGAATATCCGAGAGTATCTCGATGCGCTCTTTTTTCCGCTTCTCCAGCTTCTCGCGGAGGGTGTTCCGCTTCGTCTTTAATGATTTTATGTCCCAAGCATCGGCCATTGTGCGTTTAAGTGCCGGTAAACAAAATAGTAAACAAAGTCGAGTTTTTTTTTCTACAAAGTGTGACCAAGGCAGCCGGACGGATATATAACAAAAAACTAAATACTAAAAATGTGTCTTTAGTATATATCGCATAATGATTATACATTATTTAGTGTTTGCTTAACAAATTAGTTGAGATAAAATAATTAAGATAATTTGTGTTTTGATTGACAGAAAATTACAATAGTTCATTAGTTTAAAATAAATTAGCGGGTGACTTTTTTGGGTCGTTCCCTATTCGGCTTAATAATAGAGATTCAAAAACATCGATCTATGGAGACATCGATGGTAAAAAACACATCGATGATTTATTAATCGATACATCGATTATTTAATCGATGGTTTTGCAGCTCTTATTCTTCAGCTCACACAATCTGGTCACACCGTACCCAATTGCAAGAATCGGAAGCTGCGTCGCGCCCCCATAACTATTTTGCCCAGTAAAACGTGTTTAAGCACCATAAATAATTGATGAAAAACGCTATAAATGTAAACAAATCGTGCCGCAAAGTCAGTCAGCGGATCAGAAGTAATTAACCCCGCCAAAAACATCGCGAGTTCCGAAGAGAGAGTTGTTGTTCTTGGGCCGCTGTGCTCTGAAGTTCGTGGCGTTTTCCTTTTTGTTTATGCGCGCGAGAGAGGGAGAGAGCAAAAAAGAGAGCAAAGCATAAGTGCGCGCAAACACACACGGATAGCAGAGGATTTGCGAAAATCGAGTGTATGTGTGTGCGCATAGCATTTGCACACATTGTTGTTGGAGAGTGAGCGAGATAGAGAGCAAGAGAAAGAGTGCGGAATAGAAAGCTCCAACGTTGGGGCGAGATTTATAACGCGACATTCGAACTTTTACTACGGAGCATGACGGTTCCATCGCAGCAGTTTCGACGCGACCCACACGGCTGCAGAAGCAGCAGCCTCCACAACCGAAACCGAGACCGAGCCCGCTCGCAGCCCGAGCCCCAATCCGAGCAGCCCTAATCCGCAACAGATTCGCCGCGTATATTGATTCGGTGTGCGAGTGAATTTTGCAGTTGCACCCGCAGCAGCAGCAGCAGCAGCCCCAACAACAACTCTCCTTCAACCGCCCGCCCTCCTCGCGTGTGTATACTACAACGTACCGTTTTTTGCTTCACTTTTAAGGAGGCGGCACGCCCTTCCCCAGCGTGCGTGCATTTGTAGGTGTGCCCAGTGTATTGGTATTGGCGGGCCTTCAAATCAAAGTATCCAAAATTTTAAACTTGAGATTCTCGTCAAATATATATATTGTGATGACATAAACTATCGGGAAAACTATGTGCTTACTGCTGGAGAAACGAGTAAACATTAAATCACCAGTGTTGTGGAAATAAAACACAGCTCGCTAAAACCACAGGAAAGAAACCAAAGCGAGCCGAAAACAGCCAAACACGAGCACACCATGAAGATGGTCGACAAGTCGTCCAAGTTGGTGGATAAATTCGCCGTTATCAGCGGCACCGGGAACACCAGCGGCGCTGGCAGTGGATCGCTCAACATGCCTGGCACCGGTGGCGGTGGCAGCGGCAGTGGCGGAGGAGGCGGACTTACCAATTTTGGCGGATCCTCCACCACGGCGGGCCTGGGAGGAATCTCCGGAGCCAATGGCCAGAAACCGGTGCCAATGAAGCTATTCGCCGCCTGGGAGGTAGATCGAACGCCGCCCAACTGCATCCCAAGGTGAGTGTAAACAAAATTTTACATAATGCCAACGGCAGCGGCGGTGGCGGTGGCAACGGCAACAGCGGCGACTCGGACGGCAAAGGCAAAGCAGTCGCAGTTTGTTGTTGCCTTTCTGCCAATTTGTTTTTTTTTGCTTGTTTTCTTACCATTGCTATTTTTATTTCGAGCAAAACAGACAACAAAAAAACAACGATAAAAAAGCAAGAGCGGTAACTGTTATTTAACCGACTGACAAAGCAGACTTTTATTTATAAGTCCCTTAGCGAAATTGTTGTTCCGAAAGAATCCCTATAAAAGTATGTATATTCAGATTAAATAAGGGATTTTTCTATAACTTTGCGATTTAAAATCGATTATTTTCAAAAGAGGTAAACATTTCTCAAAACGTTAAACTGAAAGTACGCCTTCCTTTGTGTAACGTTAAGATAAATGGACACTGAGAAAAGGTTTCTGAGTATAGCTGAAACTTTTTTTATGAAACATCTTAATAAGAAAGCTTGTGCAATTATGCAATTAGTCACCGAAATGTCTCAAGTTCAATATACTTTACACACTTTAACCTTGTTAAAAACGAATAAAAAAAATAAGTACGAATTCAAATTTGCACAGATGTCGCGACTTTGAACCTTTAGAAGATATATTTTAAGATAGTATAAATATTACTACCTTATAATAAACAAGAAAGAAAGCTAACTTAGGGAAACCAAAGTTTGTATACCCTTGTTAGTTGTTAGTTACCCAAAGGATCATGGGTTAAAATCTGTGTATACCTCCTATTTCAAATATCATAACTAAGCCAAAAATACAATACAAAAAATACAATAATATATGTATATGATTTATGGTATAGGGTTGAAAATGATTCCTTCACTGCGTAGCAAGTCATTGACTAAAATCATAATACTCTGCAAGGGTATAACAATAAATTACGATCCTCAAAGGCGTATAAAATCAAATCGTAAAAGAGATAATAAAATGATTGAACTTTAGTGTTACACAATTTTGATAGCTTTGTAAATAGATTTTGTTTTGTTTTATATTATGTTAAAGGTTGTTGCTTTTTTGCCAATTTGGTTTTGTCTATTAGGTTTGCTTTTTATTTTATTTTCTTGCTATTTTAAGCAAACAAAATAAACTAGAAAAGTTTTATTTAACAGGATTTGCTATAGTTTCTGAAAGCTGACTTTTGTTTAGGAATCTATACATTGAAAATGATTAGTGTTATTCACAAATATTCGAACTGTTGTCCTAAACCTAAACTTAAACTAAAATTACTCTGAAAAGTGTGAAATAATAGATTAAATACAGTGTCTAGTGTTAAGCTCTTGACCCCTCTCATCAATAGTTTAGTAAACAAATCAAAGTCGAAAATAGAATGATAATGATAACAAATCTGGCAAAGGCTTAAGCCTAACCTAACTAAATACTGATGTTAGCGTTAAGACCGGCGGAGCTTTAAGTCAGAATAGAATGAAATATGACCTAGAAGATTTGTGACAGACCCACATTTCTGGGATTTCGTAATTCCATTTATGAGAAAGCAAGCTGCTTTTAGAAAGTAATTTAAGCTCATCGGGATTTTTGCAATGAATGTAAGAAATGATGATCAGCTGAAAAAATAACTAATACTGAATACGTTTTTAATATTGAATTACCAAACCTATAAATAAGCCCACCTTTAATTCATTTATTTACTCTATTGTTGTCATAGCAAGCCACTTAAATATGCGAAATATATCGCTTCCAGCCAAAAGCCACACCAATATTCATTCATAAATTATAGAAATGTTATTTTTTTGTGCAATCTTTGGGTAAAATATTTTCTATTCGTTATCTTTTGACGGCTATCTATCGTTTTGCAAATAAACTTGTTTGCTTTGTGCCGCTGCCGCTGCTGCTGCTGCTTTCTTCCATTCCACACGTCTTGTGTCATGTTTTTGTCCCAGTAACCCCGAATAAGATGAGTAATGTCCAATCTTGGGTCGTTGTTCTCCGGGTTTCTTGTGCTGCTGCTGCCAGAATGGCCCGGCTGATAAGAGTTCGCTGGCTTATTTGCATGCCGGTGAGTCAGCAGTGTCCAATGTGTGTTGACTCTGGACAAAGATTAATCTATAATTGGGACAAGACTCCCCATTGCGTCGCAGAAATTATAAATTAGGCGCAGTTTTTGCCGGTTTTAATCGCTTTTGTGTGTTTTAAGAGCACTCAAAAGCGATAAGCTGGCCAAGTGGACAGAAGAGGAATTCAAAATTAAGTAGTCAGCGGCCTTGGCAACGCCCACAGGCCAAGAAAAGTTGAACAATATATATACACTTTGTACCACAAACATGTATAATCTGTTCTGGGTTAAATAATAATATTTTCTCCCTGTGCAGCAGCAGTCGCTCGAAAAGTATTTACTAAATATTTGATGGCCAAGGCCAAATGGTCTCCTCTGGCATCGTCTTTTTTTTTTCCTTTGGTTCCTCACACCTATTTTTTTTGTTTGCTGAAAGGTCATAAACCGCCAGAGAAGCGGGGAACGACGAGCTGTTTTATCTTTTGGGATACATTTTGAGTTTGGGTTTGAGTTTTCTTCCATCGTCGTTGTTTTGCTTTCGCTTTGTTTGTTTATAATTATGCGCCCGCTTGGCTGGCTTATAATTAGAAACTGAAGCTAAGCAAGCAAAATTGGGAATTTTTACAGTCACCAACTTTGAACTCTTCTTTCGGGGAGATATACTTTCACCCGTTCCTAAAGACAGTAAAGTCAGTATTTTACCCTTGGCTAATTAAGAATGTCATGTTGGCTAATTGCAGCTGAAAGCTAATTTAATTTATAGTTTTGTATCTTCGCTCCGATGTGTTGTCAACTGGCAGCTCATTTCCTATTTCCTCCACTTCTTGGGTATAGTATCTATAGTATACCATATTTCCCTCTGGTTGGGCAAATTGTATCTTTATGTTGATTTTATCTACGACCCAATGCGGCACGTAGAGCATATCCAGACTTTGATTAGGGCTCACGCGGCATTAGCGCAAGTTTTCCTTGCGGTTGGCCGACGATTCTGACATTTGCCAGCCGTACGTGACCCGTCTGCTCCCGAGTATCCCCGAGTCTGACCCGGCTGATTCATCCTGACCCTCCTCCGACGGGCAATCAAACTCGCATCAAATCAGAGAAAAGGCCATACGCTCTCATGCGGGGCCAAAGTCAGGGTCTGAAATGCATTCAAGTTCGAGGCGTAGCAAATTATCCTTGAAGAAGTTTGCTCCTTCCTCTACTGTGTCTCGTTTTAATTTGCCTTGAACTGAGACTGAGAAAAGAGCTTCGCTGTTCATTTGTTGTCTTCTTATGGAAGAAGCGAGTAAATGAAACTTTTTCCATTCTGATTAACAATTTGTGGATGCTGGGTGAGGGAGGCAAAACTAATTTAGCTTAGTGTCTGTTTTGTTTTCATCTTATATACCATATATTTTTGTTTTGGGGGAGCAGACACTTAAATATATATTAAATATGCATACGAAAACCGAGTGCAGCAAGTTAGATATTAAATATGTCGTTTTTTATGTTGCTTATCTTTGATAGAGTTTGAATATTATCCTGGAAACATTTAGGTACGTTTCCTCACTAAGATACTCTTCAGTACCATCTGCTTTCCCTTATCAGCAGATAGTTTTCTACGTATTTTTGGAATAACTATTTACTTGGTTTTCGGGGGAAACAAAAATGTAAACAATTCATAAGTAATAGTCAGCTTATCCGCTCTTTAATCCTCTTCCTTTACAGATCCCTTCTATCGTTGAGATATTTTGGTTATTTGTAATTTCTATCTGTGGTTACCTGAAAACTGAATTGAAAATAATTCATTTAGAGGCAATGGCAAACAAGCGTACGCAATAAAAGTGCACTTGGGATAGGTTCGGTTCAATTTGGTTTGGTTAATTTTATTATTTGTGTTGTTGCTTCGATTTATTTTTACAACAAGAAATTTCACATGTTTTTTCGTGTGTTCGTAGCCAGGAAGCGATGGATTGATTGATGCATATGAGACTCCATTAGGGGACTTTTTCTACGCTGTTCTAAGTTTATTTTTAAGCTTCTAGGAGCTCTCGTTTGTATAAATAAATGCGAAAACAGCTTGCCAATATTTTTGATAAACAATCTATACGGTTTTTCCTCATCATTTTCGTGTAATTTATATAAACTGCGCCAATGTTTTTACTAGAAATTAATTTAGAGCCAAACGAAAATAGCCGCCGGTCGGTCGGTGACATATTTCCCAGATCCAATTTGTATCTGCGCCTGCCGATCGTGCCAGCTGTTCAGCAGCAGCGGGGCTTTCGGAGCTCCTTGTATCTGTATCTATAAGTAAAATTTATATCGCGACAAGCGACAGCAGTTGGCCGAATATCTTTTTTCTCGCGCGTGTTGCCCACGAAACGCCAGCCTTGAACTTTTTTTTTTGTATTTGTCGTTCTCTTATTTTGCACGAACCCAAAACAATATCTAGAGCATCATCATCGGCATCACATGTATCTCTGAGCGTGTATCTGTATCTGTGTATCTGAAGCTGCATTAGCCTCAGTTTGTATTTGTGATTGACAAATTGAATTCTTTTCCGTTTCGGTTATTCTACTGCAATATTTTTCATTTTTATTGTTTATACATATTGCCAAAATGTTATGTCAACTGAACTATAAAATCTTTTCGTTGTATAGATATATATTATATAGAATATATATGCCTCACCTGCATTGGCTTTCCCAGGGTAGTCACCAATTTATGCTGATAGCTTTTCAAATTGATTCTGGGTGCAACTTTAATGGGATTTTCCGTATACTGCTGACTTTGCTGCTGTTGCTGATGCTGCTTCTGTCCCAACGCCATCTGTGCATCACGTAGATTACCGGCAACGAATCAACAGCAGCTGGGCCCGTTGGCCATGACCGATGGTTCCAGGTATTCGAAGGTGTTTTTCTTTGTGTGTGAGTGTGTGTCTATGTGTGTGTGAGTG